AATTTCACACACAACGGCTATCAAACACATAAAACCATGGAATCAGCTATAAATAAACCAACAACTTTGCAAACATCTGACTTCTCTCGCAGCTCATTGTTTTTTGCGTAGTTAGCTAATCACTAAATGTTGATACACAAGGTTAGCAGAATTAGCAGTCTGGCACAGAGCTGCATACCTCCTGTGCACACATTCACTCATTCACTTTGTTTTATTTTACATTTAGGGCTGAAACTTGCATTTTCAATGCAATGTTCAACCTTAATTGAGTTAACCACTTACCCTGAGGGGGGCAGCAATATGCTTATAGTGTTGTACCTATGTCAGCAGATAACGAAAGAAAAAGAACAATTATGGCTAAAAGTTAAAAAATAGTGTAAAAGCATTTTCTTAAAATGAAGAACAGTCACATACAACAATTCTGAAGCAGGAGAACAGTCGGTAAACAGCTGCTCTCTCTCCAGGCTGGTGTTCTGACAAACCAAACTACTCACTGAGGACGCGAAGGTCACACTGCAAGTGATTTATCAGAATGGCTAATGATGCCTTTACAAAAATCACTGAAGCTGATCGTACTACATTACTGAAATTAGTCAGTGGAATATTCTAAGCCACATCACTTCTGATATTAAAAGGTAGCAGTGTACTACTACTGAACAATCAACAGCTCATCCTGTCAAGCTATTGCATAAAACTGGTTAATTGGCTTAAAATACAACTCATTGTGTGAACATTTTCACATGAAAAATGCCATCCGCTCATCCTGGAAACCCATAGCTCGCATACTGAACTAGCATGTTAAAATATTGAACCAGCTGAAGAGCTATAACATTAACCTACCTATTTTAGCATTTGCTCATTACTTACTGTAGCTTAAAAGTATGGACAGACTTAAACAAAGCACCACATATTCTCTTCTGTGGTGGTAATTTAACTCTTGGTGAACAGTACCTCAGTACATTTTACTGTTACAGGTCTTTACATTTAAACCTGTTAACAACAATAACAACCTGTGCATGGAAGCTCAACATAATCAAAGTTTTTACAGCCTCTTTATAAGGTGGCACTACTGTTTTGCTGGAGTATTTGGACTGAACCAACTTGTGTGCAAATTTCTGAAAAAATATGAAATATTGCGATACATGTCATGTCCTTAAGCGTCATGATGTTCATCCACCTTTAGCTGGGGCTGCAGAATATATTCTTTGCTCGTCATTACCACAATATCAGCCTTCGCAATGATGACAACCTAATCAATCACAAATGTTCTTTGGGTGCTTAGATGAATCAAGGCATCATTGCTCCAGCAAACACAACTCATTTTGGTTAAAACTAATGTAAGCCATTCTATAACCACATCACAGCCTCAAAGTTTTTTTTATTTATTTTAGTATATTGCAAGTCATTTTTCAATGTGTAGCAACATAACTGCAATATTTCGAGCAGCCCTAGACAAAGTTCAGCAGCAGTTCTTCATTTGAGTCCTGGGGACACACGACAATGCTTGACTTGCTTGCTTTAATTACCACAACAACATTTCAACCAGGCTTGATAATTAGATAATGAGATTCATTAACGCCTTTGTGCAGAGAGCGAAAATCGCTACTGCCACCTCTTAAACTATTTTCCTCTTCGAATGGCAAGACCTCAGAACACTGTCATTCCACCACATGAAAAGAACAAAATATGACAAAGCAGATACTGTAGACTTTTGCTATGAACTACCAGTTAAACAAAAGAAACAGTAATACAAAGACATAAATTTATGTGTAATGGGACACAAGAAATGGCACGATACCACTTTCTCAATACTTTTTCAATACCAATATTAAAACCTGAAGGATGATCAAATATTTTTTCTTTAAAACTGGCTATTTTTAATTAAAGAGGAACATACAACACAGGGCTATCATGCTCAAATTACTCAAACAAGTAGTACCCCACAGACAGCTAACAACATCAGATTACACAATGCGTGTGCTATTTCAAGCTAGATTTGTTACAGGGTTGGATCCAATTATCTTTTAATATCAGCCTAATACCAAAACCCATCGATGCCGATATATCATCCGTAGACAAAAGTTTCCAAAATGACTTGTTTACACCTGCCATTAACATGCGTCTTGTGTGATCCATTCATAAGTGGACAGCCTCAGTATGTCTCAGGAATGCATTGTGATTCAATCACTTAACCCACATTGGGAGGTGGTCAGGGATGCATATGACCACATATCATTTGTAGTGTGAATGCAAATTAATGTGTTGAAGGAACACCTTAAGCAACTGTGTCATCACAGCAGAGACAAAAGCAGCTGTATAGCTGTTTGTTTACAAGTGATCCAAACATTTGGAACAGCTCATAAATGTACATGAACAAGGACTCGTCAGACAATTTTGTCTCACAACAAACACAGCAAGAGACTGACATACTGCATGTGCAGAGTACTCATCCTGCCGTCACAAAATCTGCTCACATGTGGTCTCTGGAGGCGCCTTCCAAACACACAGAAAGACCAGGTATAAAAGGCTATATGTCTTACTGTCCACTTATGATTAGATCTCTCAAGACGGATGTCAATAACAAGCATGAATAGGACCCAGGAGAAAAAAAAACAGCACTTTTTGTACAGTGCTGCACAATACAGTAGCACTCAGACCACTTCTTATGGGTTCTTACTGAACTTGGAAAAAGCAACAGCATCTTCTCAGAAGCCTTCAAAGCAGAGAAGAGAGTTTTTTTTATTTTAATTATGCGGTGCCTTCAGCTATAACTGATAATATCTTGAAAGCTTTGCCAATGTGTTATCTTCTTTTGATTTCCACATTTCAAATACTGTTTTAAATACTGTCTGAGTCCAGAACTCATTCAGAGATGCAGACTGATCTGACCAAAGACTTGGCAGAAAAGCTGCTGGCTATTAGCAAAACGCTAGACTGAATCAGTGTAATAAAGCAAACGTGAAACCTCGCAAGATACAGGCTACAAATGCTAGACTGTCCATCTGCGTGTCTATCCATGAAGTGTCCATCTGTCATTTGTCCACCTATTTTGTGTCACGCCTGCTGATTCTGCTAAGCTGTAACACCTGTTGCAAAGGAATAACACATTTTCAACAAAGTGCAAATAAAGCCAGCCTGGATGTGAATATGCCTCCAAATTTAGGTAAACTATCCATCTAATGGGAAGCAATAATCTTTATGGCTCTGATTCACTGGATATAGGGTTACACCTATAGGGTTTGTGTTGTAAGCAGACTATCTATCTAAAGGCTAGTACTAATCTTTGCAGCATTTGGCTGAGATTGGGTGGGTTATTATGATAAACTCCGTCACAACACGCTGCCCTGAACATATCAGGTTTATCATCATTTCTTAATGAGCACTGATTAACTTCATTCTTCATTTACAAAACAGATTTAAGAGAGACCACATTACATAGATTTCTAACATCCAAGCGCCAATAATGGAAGTCTTTAAGCAATGTTTGCCTCGGATTCACAGGACATCTCATGTGCAGGCCTCAGAAGGTTCTGTCATGAGTTGTTAACTCATCAACCTTCTTTAAATGTAGGCCAATGTTTTTGTTTGAAGAAGAAAAGAGAACAAAACTATGACACATTCTTTATTTTGGATATGGTGTGGCTTTGCCAGGAGATCAAATGCCCACAAAAAGCTTAACTGATCCTATTTAACTAGATGTAATGTTAGTTTTGTGTATTATGCAAAATTAGAGCTGGGCCATATGACAATACTTACCGTTATTGTGATAAATTACAGCACAATATGCTTTTCTGTGCATATTGTGGTTACCAGCACTTAAAAAACACTTTCCAATTGCATGGTTGACTAAAAAGAGAGCATAATTAATCCTGTTTTATCGGATTTAGTGCAGCATTGTGTGAAATGTTGAATATAAAAAGTGACTGTGTTCATATTTTTGATGGTATTTTTAAAAAGCGTCACAGTTTTGTCTGTTCTAACTTACCAGATGTCAGAAAAATATCATTAAAAACTTTCTAAAGTACTGAGATACATTTTGCCATATTTCCCACCTCCATGTGAAATCAGGAACATAAAGGTAGTTTTCCACCACTTCCCTGCTGAAAAAAACAAAAACAAAACACAGAACCTATTCAAATTTTCTTCTGGTTCCTGGTGGTGTTCAATAGTCAGTAATGATATTTAGTGTTTTCCTGATGGGTTTTTATCACATTATAAAGGATCACAATGGTTTAACAGGTGTTCTGGGACTGATGTCAGATGCATTTAATAGTTTCCTAATGGGATCTAAAGGTGTCCCACAGGAAACGAGTGGTCTCTAATGATAACCATTAAGACAATGCTAATCCTAATGGTTCTAATGGTCTTTTTTCAGCAGGGTAGTTTGCCAGACTCGGTCTTTTTTTAACCTTTTCACTTACTACAAGATCATAATGTGTACTGTGCATCATGAAAAATGCCTTCAAGCATTGTCATCTTGCAGTTTTGTCCGCGCCTAATGAGACCACTTAGTAGCATTAGAGTGGTGGGGACTCTGTCTGTGCTCAGTCAGTGGCATCTCCTGTATTTGCCTCGACCCAACAGCTGGTCACTCTGGTTAGAGGGTCAAACACACGGCAGGTGCTTAAGTGCGAGTCTCTTGTTGGAACAAGCCCAATGTAAACCACTTGTTCGTGACAAAGTGGCTGCTGTAACCTACCAAAGACAGAAGAAACCTGCCTGAGCAGCGGGGGAGTGAAAGCAGCGTGTTGACACGGCACAAAACGGTGATAAACAACAGCAACACCGCACCGCCCAGGCCATTTTCAACCCCGCGCTCGCCTCCTGCTCGAGGCCGCCCTCCCTGCATCCTTCACCGGCTTCATTCGCTTCCTTATTTCGCCTTGAACTCGATGCTCTCACTCACTCACTCACTCGCGTCGTGTTTGTTTCCACTTTTAGGCAAAACTGTCGCTCAAGAAAGAATCCCTCTCACGATAAGATGAAGTGAACCCGCTTACCTTCGTCTGGTGATGGATTAACTGCTGTTGTGAACGTTATCGCTTAACTCGTGGACCAAACTCGCTTTTTTCAGGAGTAGTTGTGGCACTAGTTGGCTTTCTCCTGGCTGCTGATAATAATAAAAGCGTAGTGTACTTTTTTGGGTGAAAATATCGTGGATTTGGATGTTAATGCGCCAGTTTTTATCCGCTTCTCAAGCAGCGTACGTTAAAAGTCCGTTAGAACATTTTGAATTTTTAAATGTAAAACTGCTGCGCGTGTGCTGGCGCGTAGCTGCGCTACCGGCGCGAGCGAGGCAGCCTAACTGGCTGCTGTTGCCCGGAGGAAATGGTACAGCATTGCTGCCGCATGCATGCCTGTGTGTGCTGTTTTGCAGCAACTCTGACACTGTCTGCAATGCAAACGCGGTAAATAAGTGTATGCACTGCAGCAAGCTTATGCTGATGCATGTAATACGAAAAACCAGGTTGCACGGCCAGCTTTCTTTTGCAGCATCACAGAGTGGGAGACAGCAATGTCCCTTGCCCTTGTGGACAGCATATGCCTAGCAATTCTGCTCGCAGGGGCCGTAGTCCGTCTCTCTCTCTCTGTCTCTCTCTCTGTCTCTCTCTCTCTCTCTGTCTCTCTCTCTGTCTCTCTCTCTCCTCTCTCTCTCTCTCTCCACACTGTAAATCTTATGACATGGATGGATAGTAATATTCCTTGCACTGGTAATAGTAATCTTTTTAAACAACATACATCCATAACATCAAAACAACCTCGTTTCTACGCTCACTGTCCATATTATTAGCTCCACTGACCATATAGGAGCACTTTGTAGTTCTACAGTTGTAGATGTCTGTTGCTTCACAGTTTGTGTTGGTCATCCTCTAGTCCCTCATCAGTGGTCACAGGACGCTGCCCACAGGATACTGTTTGCTGAATATTTTTGGTTGGTGGACTATTCTCAGCCCAGCAGTGATACTGAGGGGTTTAAAAACTCCAGCAGCACTGCTGATCCACTCCTACCAGCGCAACAGGGGTCCTGTGGGGTACTGACCATTGAAGAACAGGGTAAAAGGGGGCTAACAAAGTATGCAGGGAAACAGATGGACTACAGTCTGTAATTGTAGAACTACAAAATGCACCTGTATGATAAGTGGAGCTGATAAAATGTGAATTGAGTGTAGATCCAAGGAGGTAGTTTTAATGTTATGGCTGAAAGGTGTATATTCATTAAAGTCTCTCTCTTTTCTCTCTGTATCTACACTCTACATCATATTATATGACATATATGAGTATATGGCATTTGTCAGCATAAGGAGTTTATGAAAACAACCGGCATTCCCTTGTTATAGCCCTATAACACATGTACTGTAGGTAAATAGTGTACCCACATGTTCCCCTACTGTTTCCTTCATTTAAGATGCATGCTAGTTAAAATATGCATGGTGAATTATACTTCAAATATGTAAAAGAAGAGGGGAGTTCTGTCTTTACTACTCTTTCTGTTAGATAAGTGATGGGGGGGCATAACACTCTTGCCATCCATCCATGGAGCAAAAAAAGAAAGAGCGATTGAATAAGTTTAAAGTCATAATCCCCCATGATTCTGCCCCACAGATCAGCCAAAAAGTTATTTTTTTTGCATCTCGTGGTTGATGAGGCCTTAAGTAGGTCACAAGTGCGGTAAATGAATTCGCCATTGCATAAGACTGTTGTAATGGCCTTCTGTCTGAAGAAGGCTCTCAGAGAAAGAGAATTACTTTATGAGGCTACATTATGATTGATTTCCCTGGTTCTTCGGATTCTATTAAACTGAGCTGTTTGCTCGTGTGACACATTCTGAAAGCGACTTTCTCGAGAGAAGATAAAATGCAATATCTAGCATGACTCGGCTGTTTGTTGGATTTATGATAAAGGACATCATTGTTATTAACCATTAGGAGTTGTTTTGATCAACACACAGCCCTATTTGTGTCAAAATTTGATAAATATACCCCAAGCAAAGTTGCATACAGTATTATGCAAATGTTGTACATTTGGGACTACTAAATGCAGCAGTAGTCAGGCCAACAACTCTACCACCATGCTCAAGTGCTCTCTCGGGTAAAGAAAGGAATGGAAAACACATAGCTGTTGCGGGCTATGTGATGTCCTCCTGCCGTAGTAAGCTGAAAGCTGCAGGCAGGCCGTTCTGAACCTGCTGGACAATACTGATAAGAGCCCTTCATTCTCCAGGCACTCGTGATCCCACTGAGGGTTCCCGCAGGAACCTTATCCTGGCCTACTGCGATAACTGCCCGATGGTGCGCCCACAGAGAGCTGCTTCCAGAACAGCAGGGACATCCTTCAGCATCCAACTGACAACACTTCACTGCTGCTGAGTGGATTGGTGGGATTGGGAGTGTGTATCACATCAGCAGAGGTTTAGTCAGACAGCGAGAAATGGTCTGTGTTTGTAACACAGCCATTTCTGGAGTTAGATGCTATGTTGTAGTACTATAGAAACTACAGCAATCCACTATAGGCTAATAGGTAGTCAGGTATTTGTTCAGAACACAGAAATGAAGTGCCACATTACATTTTGAAAAAGTAGTAATCAGAATACAGGTAAATTTACTTGAATACTTACCTGCTACATTAAAAATATATACAGTTCTTAAAAGAAACACCATCTGCACTCTGAGTAACTGAACAAATGGCTTCTTGCAAACACTGAAGTACCTGCTAAAGCCTGAGTAGACTAATAAATCAATGTGGCGAGTCAGTCATTTATCTGAATGTTGCCAGGATTGAACTGAATATTCTCTTCAGGGGTCAATATGTCCAGTCTTGTCAGTCTTGTCAAATTTATATTGAGTTGTGTAGCAAGGTGTGTTTAAATACTGTTCCATTTTGGTTAAATATATACTAGATAAAGTGGAACATGGTTTTCAGGTAAAGTGGGACACTTTTTAAAGCCAGTGTGTGGTTTATTGTGCTAGCATTACATTGGGATTCTAGTAGTGTGTTAGCACTAAGCTAACAGTGATTCACATGAACATTCTTTGGTTGTTTTAGATTAAACACATACATTTGAAGCTTCTAAAAGACAATCCATGTTTAATTTGAAGCTTGTAACATACATTTTAACACACAACATCTTTTACCTTGTAGCAGTTTGTACCTTGCAGCTTAAATGGTATATCCTACATTTTCTTGTATTTTAGGCCCACTTATAGCATTTGTGTGGGTTCATTTACCAAAGACAGTCATAATTTATATTTACATGAGTACTTTCCACCCTTTCTTTACTCCTTAGAATAAAACACGCAGTATTTGTTAAGAGTTATATATGTAAATGATCTCTTTTGATTGGCCACTTTGTATTTTGTCTAATGTGTAGTGGTGCATTGTGGAAAAAACTTGGATTATGTGCAATGCTAAATTTATTTATTATCCAAAAAGACCAGTGAATCTACATAAGTCCTTCAGAGTTTTTATAATGTTGTTAATGAAAATCTGAAAAAATATTGTTGCTTTGGGGACTATTTTGCCTGACAACGCCCTACATGTACCTCTCCATCATGAATGTGTTTCAAAAATGTTTTTATAAGCCAAAACCTTATCCAGAAAAACTATTGTAAAACAATGTCTCAGGCATCAGGCCGCATATTCGTAATCATCTTGTGTAATAGCTTTCGGATAAAGCTTTTAGAGGCATTAAATGCTTCAGACATCTGGTTCCTACCACCACCTCACATTTCTGACTTGGCAAGACTTGGCATCACAATACTCTGTATGGCTTAGTTTACAGCTTACCAACTTGGTGGAATTCCCCATTCAAGCTATTTAATTTCAAAATATTATGAAAATTTGGCTTTCCAGGACTTGGACTTGGCGGCCTACATGACTAAGCCTACACTGAGTTGCTTCAGCACTACAGGAGATGGTGTAAAGAACATGACAGGAAATACATGCTGGAAATGCAGGATATTACTCAGCATCAGCCAGATAGAGCTAGAAATATGTTGACTGCCAAATGACACATCTGCTTTTTTCAATATTTATGTTATGTTCAAGAATTAGTCACTTGACAGTAAATTGCTTGTTGAATTGGACATTAGACAAGATATTTGAATCATATGACATAAAAAGGGATGATTGTGTACACGAGTACACAATCATTAGCCTACATTAGAGTAACAATGATGTGTTAGCATTAGTTTGAAAAGGTGCAGAGGTGCTTCACATGTCTTGGAGGATGCACATGCTAGATAGGAGGAGACCTAACTAGCGGATGGAGTTAGAGTCCAAATAGTGAAGCGAGGTGTATGAGGTTTCAGTGTTGGTTTTGGGGGACCATTGGTTGTGTGCACACATGGGTAAGTGTGAAGGGCATGTTTGCCCTCGAGGAAAAATACCACAGCACTAACCCTGCGTGGTTTTCCTGAGTTTCCCATTGCATCACCAGCTAAAGTTAGTTACACAAACGTGAGGCCACAACTTCTACAACTCAAGGCCTACAGCGTCAGTCGTAACTGTTTAACATAATAATACTGTAGCATTATACAAAGACCTACAGCACTGTTGACATACACATGCATCTGTGAAGCGAGTTACAGTAATGATTCACCTCAGTCTCTCTCTCTTTGCCTGCCTCTTTCTCTCACTCTTGCATACATTGGTGTAGAAACAGGAAGAAAGACAGGAAATCAAGTGGCGTAGTGGTTCTACTGTTTGTTGAGCATGACACACATTTGAGTGAGCGGTAGAGATACGTTCAATTTGTACCTTAAGCTTTTAGCATTGCTTTCTGTCTTTGTCACCGGATGACTGGACTAGACAGGACAAAAGGTGGGCTCGCTCATGTGCGTGTATGCAGGAAAGTGAGTGTGTGTGTGTGTGTGTGAGTGAGCTCTCTGTCAACACGTGGTTTCCATGTCGAAAGCAACAGCTGCCAAGCTTGCTGTCCTCGTCTTCCTCACCTTCATCATTTGCCTGCCAGAGTTCTTTCCATCCGACACAGGTAAGAATGCCTGCCTATGAACACGTGATTAACCCTGTATTAGTTTAAGGTTCTGGAACACTCTCAGATGCTGGCATCTGATCATAGATCATAGATACCACTGTTACATCACTGTTACACCATACTTAATGTTCAGTTTCTACCATCTGACTGTTAGCTATTCGTACATCAGGAATAGTTGCCACTGTAACATTAATCAATTAGATTGCAGATTTTAGTGATTGTTATGTCATAAACAGACTCCATTGTTACATCATCAAACAATCAGATTGTAGAATTTAATTGTTACTTACTGTTACGTCATCAAATGATCCAGTTTTAGAATTTAATCAATAGTGATTGTTAAATCATAAATAATTGTCATTGTTACATCATCAAACAATCAGATTCTATAATCTAATTGTTAGAGATTGTTACATCATAAACAGACTCCATTGTTACATCATCAGACAATCAGACTCTATAACCTAATCAGTAGTGATTGTTACATCACCCAATTATCCAGTTGTAGAATCTGATTGTTAGTAATTGTGATGTCATAAATAAATGCTATGGTACATTTTTAAACAATCAGATTCTAGAATCTAATCATTACTGGTTGTTTCATCATAAACAGACGCCACTGTTACATCATCAATGATCAAATTCTAGCATCTGATCATTAGAGTTTGTTACATCATAAATAAATGCCATCATTGCGTCATCAATCAGATTCTTTAATTTGATCATTAGTTATTGTTACATCATCTAATGATCCAATTCTAGATTCTGATCATTAGTGATTGTTACATCATAATTAATTGCTATTGCTAAATCATCAAACAATCAGATTCTAAAATCTAATTGTTAATGATTGCTACATCATCAAATGATCCAATTTGTGATTGTTAGTGATTGTTACATCATACACAAACGCCACTGTTACATCATCAGATTACAGAATCTAATTGTTAGTGACTGTTAAATCAACAAACAGTCCAATTGTAAAACCTAACCATTAGTAACTGTTTCATCATAAATAAATGTCATTGTTACATCATCAAACAATGAGATTCCAGAATCTGATTGTTACTGTTACATTAAACAGATACCATTGTGGCATCATCAAATGATCCAATTCTAGAATCTAATCATTAATGATTGTTTCATCATAAATAAATGCCAGTGTTAAATCAAACAATCAGATTCTAGAATCTAATCATTGCCAACTGCCACATCATCCTATGATCCGATTCTAGAATCATTAGTGATTGCTTCATCATACATAAATGCCACTGTTATATCATAAATAGAACTTTCAGACATGTGAAATTTGTGTGTTTAAGTGTGAATTTGTGAATTAAAGTGTATTAAAGGGTACTTATTTTTCTTATTATAGAGAAACGCTTAATACCAATCTCTCATCAGATGTAGTGAAGAGCTTAGAATGTGCAGCAAACTGCTTTTAAAACAGAACTAGAATATTTCTCTGAGCCTATAATCAACAAAATGCAAATTTACTTATCACTTTCAATTAAAGCAAAGGTTAAAAGCCTACAGTCATTTATATAAGCTATACATTCTCACATACAAACACATTTATTTAACATTAGCACTATAAACAAGTAAATTTCTAACACCAATTGTGTGTTCATACATCTCTCAAGACGCATGGAATGACCATAAAAGACAAGTTGCCTCAAGTTGGCTTGCCAGTAATCACAAGAAAGTGTGCACACGTGATGTATTTAATCGACTCATCTGTGTTTGCATGTGTGAAAAGACCACGTCTTGAGTGCAGTTCAGCATTTTCGATTTCTTATCATCCAATTGCTCTGCTCCTGCGGTGACCAAAATCTGCCTCTGTGCAAACGCATGGTTTCATCATACACACACATACAAACAAACATGCACATATGTGTTATACATCCATCAGCCCTAACATTAAAACCTGTTTCTCCATTCACTGTCTGGTTTATCAGCTCCACTTACCATATAGATGCACTCTGTAGTTCTACAATTACAGACTATAGCCCATCTGTTTCTCTTCATACTTCGTTAGCCCCTTTCACTCTGTTCTTCAGTGGTCCGGATCCCCTAAAGACCACCACAGAGCACGGCTGCTTGAGTTTTTAAACACCTCAGTGTTACTGGGTTACTGCTGGACTGAGAATTGTCCACCAACCAAAAATATCCAGCCAGCAGCGTCCTGTGTCCACCGATGAAGGACTAGAGAATGACCAGCATAAACTGTGCAGCAACAGATGAGCTCTACTGTCTCTGACTTTACATCTAAAGGTGGGCCAAGGTAATATAGTGGACAGTGAATGGACACAGTTTTTAAAAACTCCAGCAGCTCTGCTGTGTCTGATCCACTTGTACCTGCGCACACACTAACACACCACCACCACGTCAGTGTTACTGCAGTGTTGAGAATCATCCACCACCCAAATAGCACCTGCTCTGTGGTGGTCCTGTGGTGGTTCTGACCATTAAAGACCAGGATAACAAACTACGCAGAGAAACAGATTTCAAATAGTGTTTCAAACAGGCATTTTTGGAACTTGTGGAAGACTTTATATTGTCGCAGTCAGAACAAAACCTCATATATCCAAAAATGTACATATACAGGTGAAGGAAAAAGTTCTTAACTTATTTTAGGAGTTAATGTAAAAACTATTTATTTCCAAGTCATTTTAGACCACTTCTACTGGTCCATTCAGAGTGAAATTTTGTCATGATGTAAAGAGCAGCTGGTGTTTACAAATTATGCCATAAAAAAGACAAAAATGAGTTTGGATCTGACAGCAGCAATATGATGATTACTTCAGTAAATCAAAATACCACTATAGACAGTAATTCTAATATTGCAGTACTCTATATGCAGATCTGATTTTAAATATGAAATGTAAGAACATACTATTAAATGTACTATTAGATAATTACAGTGACAATGTAATGATATTTAAAAACAAATTTTCTTCCATGCATAAACACTGTGTAACAAGAGCAGTTAGCTTGTCTGAAAAAAGCTTATATATATGTGACTTACCCAGTTTTTTCTACAACCCCATTTCCAAAAAAGTTGGGACACTGTGCAGAATGTAAATAAAAATAGAAGGCAATGATAAGCAAATCATGTAAATCATATTTTTAAGTGAAAATAGTACAAAAACAACATATCAAATGTTGAAACTGAGAAATTTTATTGTTTTTGAAAAATGTATGTCCATTTTAAATTTGATGCCAACAACATGTTCCAAAAAAATTGGAACGGGGGCCTGTTTACCACTGTGTTACCTCACCTCTTCTCTTAACAACACTTGGTAAGTGTTTGGGAACTGAGGAGACACTGCTGTAGTTTTGAAAGTGAAATGTTTTCCCATTCTTGTTTGAATATATCATATATTCAGCTGCTCAACAGTTTGGGGTTTACTTTGTCTTATTTTTCATTTCATCATGCCCCAAATGTTTTCAGTGGTGACAGGTCTGGACTGCAGGCAGGTCAGTTTAGCACTTGGACTCTTTTAATATGGAGCAATGCTGTTGTAATACATGCTGAATGTGGTTTTCATCACCTTGCTGAAATAAGTAAGGCCTTCCCTGAAAAAGACGTCATCTGGATGGCAGCATATGTTACCGAAACATGTATATATCATTGAGCATTAATGACGCCTTCACAGATATGCACATCACCCATGCCATGTGCACTAATGCACCCCTATACCATCATGAATACTGGCTTTTGAACTGTGCTCTGATAACAAGCTGAGTGGTCTTTAACCCACAGTGTCCATGATTTCCAAAAAGAATTTCAAATGTTGATTCATCAGACCACAGGACACTTCTCCACTTTCCCTCAGTCCATTTTAAATGGGCTCGGGCCCAGAGAAGGTGGAAGCATTCCAGCACCAAACTGTTTTCACAGACAATGGTTTTCTGAAGTGTTTCTGAGCCCATGCAGTGATTTCCGCTACAGAATCATGTCTGTTTTTAATGCAGTACCACCTGAGGGCCACAGCCAGCAAATACTGGTTTTTGGCCTTGTCCCTTGCATACAGAGATTTCTCCAGATTCTCTGAATCTTTTAATGATATTATGTACCGTAGATGATGAAAAGCAAAAGTTCTTTGCTATTTTACACTGAGAAACGTTATTCTTGAATTGTTGCACTATTTGCCTGTGCAGTCTTTTACAGCGTGGTGAACCCCTCCTCCTTTACTTCTGAAAGACGCTTTTTATACCCAATCATGTAAATGACCTGTTGCCAATTAACCACCAGGTGTTTTTTTTAGCATTACAAAACTTTACCAGCCTTTTGTTGCCCTTGTTCCAACTTTTTTTGGAACATGTTATTGGCATCAAATTGAAAAATATTAAAAAAAAAACAAAACATTTCTCAGTTTCAACATCTGACAAAACTTTACCAGCCTTTTGTTGCCCTTGTCCCAACTTTTTTTGGAACATGTTATTGGCATCAAATTCAAAAATATTTAAAAAAAAAAACATTTCTCAGTTTCACCATCTGACATTTTGTTGTCTTTGTACTATTTTCAATGATGTATAGGGTTTAAATGATTTGCACATCATTGCATTATGTTTTTATTTACATTTTGCACAGCGTCCCGACTTTTTTGGAAATGCGGTTGTATAATTAACATCAAACAGAACATCATAATGTCTTATAATATGGCATGAGATGACAATATGCACATATAACTGACACATCAAACTACTGACACACACCATGCTCTCTTGTGACATCCAATCAGATTGTTAATATGTGGCATGATAACTGATTGTGTCGTGCCCATGGTCAAGCTACATGCTGAAGTTTCAGTACTTGACAGCACAACAAGTGGGAGATGTAATGTTTGTAATAATGGTTGATAAGAAATGAAAATATTAAAAACGTGGGACATTAGATATTTTTTTTTTAATTTAGAAAAACTCAATATTAGGCTGCTTTGGGGCTCAGAACTAGGCTATAACCCTTAAGCAACACGGCCAAAACAGCCAACAATTGGAAAGCATTTTAATATTTTTAGCAGCGGCAGTTAAATAATTCTGAAATCAGTGGATGCTGCAGCTCCCTTAGCACCCCCACATCCCTCTTCCCTTAAACGCCAACATAAAATGCCAGGAAGCTTCATCAGTTTTCTGATACACCTAGACTCTTAAAGTGTGTCGTCTTGGTATTAGTATTAAACTACACTGTTTTTATAATGTAGATGTTTTGTTCTGACAACTCTTTATTGCCATACATAACAGCTAAGAGACCAGATTTAAGTTTTACAAAGGTTTTGCACAGCAGCATATTAAGGGTTTAGAGCCCATCAAAAAGGGCACCATTAATTTTGAGGGAAAAGGGCAGCCACCTCATGCTGTTGGCTCCAAATGTAACACGCCTCTTACTGGGATGTGAAAAGGCATAAGATATAATAACATAATAAAAAGGTGAAATGGGATAAAAGCAATAACCCTGAATCCTGAAGGCCTTAAAATCCTTAAAATCTTCCAGGTTAAACTGAATTTCGACATTTTACCCTTTACATGTTGAACAAAACGTATTATCCTGGCATGTCTGGGGTGCTGCAGATCAATACAAATGGTTTTCCGATGGTTTTGGAGAAGGACAGGAGAGGAATAACAAACCCTTCTATATAACATTTGGATCAATATTGAGGAGGAAAAGAACAGCATGTGGCTGTAGCAGAAGCCATGTGACAGAGGAAAAAATAAAACTGCACTGCTCATGAAATGTGTTGCTAGTGTTCGTTGTGATGAGGATTCATAAGAGGTGATCCTGCATTATGAGAAACATGAATGAACACTGACAAACATGTCAGAACTCTTATGCAATATATAGCACAATATAAAGAATACAAGGTTTAATAGGTGCAACTACCCCTGTACCTGTGCTAACTGGCCATTTTATCAGAAACACCTGCCATATCGGTGCACTTTGTTTAACACTAACTTATTGTAGCCCATGTGTTGTTACACAATCATTTGGATAGTGGGCCATTCTCAGCGCAGCAGTCACAGTGACATTGTAATGTGTGTGACAGTGGTAGTAGTGTATCTTACTGGAAACCACATTAGAAACTCCTGCCTTTAAGCTCCACCTTGCTTGTGACAGTTAGAGACCACAGCTCATCTGCTGATGCAGATATTAGGCATCCTCTAGCCCTTCATCATTAGTCAGTTTCCGACTTGAGAGCTGCTCTTGGGTGGTGGCCCATTCTCAACACAGCAGTGACACTTGTGTGTGTAAAAATCCAGCAACTCCAGGAGCACCACACACACTACCATATCACTACCATGTCCCTGCTGTGCTGAAAGTGATCCTCCGGCCAAATAATATCTGGCTAGTGGTGGTCCTGTGGTGATCCCTTTTCTTTGATGTACAGGATGTATGGAGGCTGATAAATCTGTGCAGCATCAGTATGATGGTGGCCAATGAATGTACCTAATAAACTGGCAAATGAATAATAGTTTAACAACATTGAAAATCTTGGGGAAAGTGCTGAAAGGCCTGAGGATTCAGCAGCATATGAGCTTGCTGTCCCCTCCGGACAGCCAGAGCCTCAGGCCAGCGCACAGTGCTAATGACCGCCATGGGTACTAAGAGTGTGAATGAGCCAAAATGACCCACACTATCTACCTGCTGCCTTCATGCCCTTCAGCAGGGCATTCAGCCCCCCAGGAGCATGTCTATGTACAGATCTTTAGCAGTCAAGATGAGAAAAAGCAGTTCCTATTGTACATTTAAAGGAACAGCTCACTCAGAAGTGCTAATGAAAGACGTAAATGCTATTATGCTAGTTTGCAGACACTAGCTTCAATTCACTGTTAGCCATGTTAGCATATCTGTTTGAGATACTCCTTTCAAAGCTTTATTAGGGTGTGCTGGAACTGTACATTAACCTAATGTATGTCACAGGCCACAGTAAATATTTTATTACTTTATTTTATTCTTTAAAACGAGTCTGCGGCTCACAGTGATTGCATATTGAGGCTTCTCCTCCCGTGTTCAGGCATGTTTCTGGCAAATCTCATGACTGAACAAATAGCAGTAACCTGTAATAGACCTCTGAAGTTATGTGTCATTCTGTAGTCGGCATCGTGCCTATATTAACAACTCAGGGTACAAGTAGTTAGACAAATGAATGGCGCATTGTGTACTGTGGTAAACAAAAAGGTTCCAAAGCTGACACGTTTTGTCATGAGTACATTTTTCACTTGAATGTCATTGGATCCTCTGGATTACAAGGTCATTAGCAGGTGAAATACAAAAATGCCACATACATGCTACAAACAAGCTAAAGCTCCTGAGCACTAAAGTGACATTGCATGAAAGTAAGTCTACTATTCAACCTCCACACTAGTATATACCAACACCAGCTACACAGACAGTAGACTATTACCGCCAAAGCAATTAACTACCACACTGGACGAAGCTTGTTTACATGAGGTAGTTGGTGTGGTTAGCAAAGTTATGATGTGAGTTCAGTGTGGAGCTATGTTAGCTTGCATGTAGCAATATTCATAATGGCTTCTTAACAACCGCAGAACTCAGAATATCCAGGATTTAGGAGGAAAATGTATATACAGCAAAATGAATCGAGTTTGGAATATAGTTTACCACAGGATGTGAGAGCAGCCGTTTTTGAAAATGTCATTCATTTCACTCATAGAGAAAACCACCCTGCACCATTTCATGCTGGTCTAAGCTGGGTTAGTGCTAGTTTAACTGGTCACCCCAGCATAGTCATGCTGGTTGGCCAGCATATCTGTGTCAAAGCACAACAAATGCTGGTTTTGCTGGTGGTCAGTATATCCACTTCCATTGCTGCTGACCAGCATCCAGAATACAATAAGTTCCTTATATGGGCATGGCGCCAACTAAAAGTGTGGCTTTACATTTTGTAGATTGGTTTCCACTATGATGGTCATTTATTTCTATTTTTTCCAAATTTACTGATCTCTCTCTTCAGATCCAGTGTTGCAGATCCCGTTTAACTGTTTGTCCTTCAACCCCTGTGACCCTATGAGTGGGCAAGGTCCTAAGGATGGGCAGATTTGTCAGGAGTACAGGAATACAAGTAGGATTAATGCCCTATGTGAAGTGGAGACAAAAGAGAACATGATCAGCCAAGACAAAGTGGTGCAAGACTGGTTTGTGTGTGAGACTGAGGCTGACCTATGGAGTCTCCATGACAACGCCTCACTCTCAGGTGGGATCAAGTAGGATGTGTATGTATGTACATGCGTGTATATGTGTCCTTGTGAACATGCTGTTTCTTTTTTGATCGCCTTGTTTACCTTCCATGCTTGATGTTTTATTTCCTTGTTCAAATTGTGGCCATTTCAAGATTAAGACACATTCATAAGGCAACAGGAGATGCGGATGTGCTTAGTAATTTAAACCATTGATTTATGTTGAAGTGTTATTAGCTGCTGAAATGCATTTGTTATAGTGGTACGTTAATTTTCTAGTAAGAAGGTTAATTTTTTCCACAAGGAGTCCAGCACCTTTTATTGACCACTAGCTTCTTAGTTTTCTGGCTAACCACCTGCTCTGTGCTGAAAGCATGTGTTTTGCCAATAAAAGAGCAATTCACTAATGTCACAGTATGTTGCATCTTCCTTTGTATCTGAAGGTCATCCATTTAATGAGTGAGTGTAAAGGATAGTTTGGCTAAAAATGAAATTTACACCGTTTTCCAAGCTTATAGCTGCCAATGTAGCATACATGTACAAACTGCATGCCCAAATCTCACTTGGCTGACACTGCATGAAGATGTGGAGTAATCTTAAACAGACTTGTATATGGTTTATGCGGTACATGCTTTAATCTAAAACAAAAATGTATAGACGCTACAACAAAACGTCTATCTTCATTTTTGTTGTTTTTTTGTTTTTGACATAATTTGAAAGTGCTGTTGCCCATAACATGATAGGAGCTGTGTGCTAGCTTTATACACACCAACTGAAGAAGTTATTTTTAAGAATATGTGTAGAGTAATATGTTGCATCTTCTTTTGTGTCAGAAAGTCTGTTTGATGAACATAATTCAGAAATCTTGTATTTTTTGGTCTTTTTTCCAGATCTAGACACGGTCTTGATGCTACAGGTCACAAATCAGACTCTCCAGAATGTGACTATGCATGGTCATTTCAACCAAAGTGGACTGCACATAGACACCAGCCTGAACTTCACACTGTTAGGCTGTTGCGCCCAACCTCAAAGAGACTGCGCATACCCAAACAAAGTCAAGGCAAGCCCAACCTCCCACAAACCAGTTACAAGACCTGGACTGTCCACAGTGCCATCATCAGGAGAAACAGACTCTACCTCTAATCTCAAGTGTCAATCAAACAGAAGCCAGTGCTTTTTTCGCTATGTAGGAGGCAACGCTATCAAAGCATCTACTAAGGAAGGTGAGCTTTTGCTGATGTTTGGGTCCATTTCTTAAGTCAATTTAAAGGGCCATTATTCTACATTTTATTTGTACATTTGTTCCTTGAGGTTCCTTTATAATGTTTGTGCTGATGTCACAGTTATTTTTTACATAAACGCTTTCCACTATTGAGGTTGGTTTTACATGGTGAAACTTTCATGCAGCTAGTTTAGAAGAACATCCTGGGTTCGATTCCCCGGCCAGGCAACCAGGGCCCTTTTTGTGTCGAGTTTGCATGTTCTCCCCATGTCTTAAAAGTGTTACTCACTGTGATCACGTGACATGCTATCACCATTTTGATTGGCTGTTTCATGCAACTTCTTTCATGAAGTTGAGACGCTTGCAGCTGTTGAGTTTCAAATGAGTTGCAGGACACTTTATGCAACCCAAGTGCAATTTAATTTAATGTAGGTTTCAAGCAACTAAAGTTTCACCATGTAAAGTCAACTTTAGAATTAAAAAGGCTGTTTTGGTTACTGTGCCTGTAAGACTGGTGTATGTCCATGACTGGTATATGCCTTGAATCATGCCTCATTCAAAAATTAGCCCGGGCTGAAAAACTCCTTATACCTTCAGTGTGAATAGGTGGGGCTACACTGCTAATATATATATATATATATATATATATATATATATATATATATAAATAAATACGCTGGTTTCTGTAACAGTTCATTCAAAACAGTGTAACCGTTTATTAGTGACATGGGACTTTCTTGGGACATAATGAAGACATCAGAAAAGGACGTCCTGTGGGACAGTACAAAACAATATCTTTTAAAGCCATTTTGAGGACGCCCTAAGGATGTCATTTTGTTCGCTGGGTTAATACCCCAGTGCAACAGTTCACATAAGGAACCGCACCAAAGACATGCTGGGATTTTAAAACCTGCATCAAAGAGATTTGGTTTCAGTAAATGTACAGTACATATCTATTAAATGTTACACCATTTAGATGGTTTATTTGCCAAATATAACATCATAGTGCATTGTGAACCAAAATCAGTGGCTTTATGCCATTGGCTTTTCTTTCCTATGCAAGGTTGTCTTTGAGTTTCAGAAAAGCGAGCTGAAATTGCTGATAGTGGCTCGAGACAACACCTCAGACATTCAATATCAATACAGTCCTTCCTATCGTCTCTCTCTTTCTCTCTCTCAATCCTTCCCTATAAATCGAGTCTAAAGGTTAGCCGAGGCCATGTTTTATTCCGTCTATTGATTCTGGCAGGACAGAAGACAGTACCACTTTATATTTCGACTTCACCACTGATAAATATATTACTGCAATATATCATTCTGCTCTGCTAAGAGTTGGCCTTCTTCAAAGCCACAAATCTCTACAGAAGGTCCAGGCTGTCCGAGTCATTTGGGGTTATTAAGTTACTGTGGATCTGAAGACTTAGAGATAACAGCGTTAATCGGAATTAACAAAAGAAAATCTTTATGTTGTAGTTGCCATATTAAAACATTGAAATACTGTAATTTATTACATTAATATACTTTAAATATAACAATGTTTTTTTTTTCTTTAAAGGCACTGCTTTATAGATGAAAGATTTTGTTATGACATCTACTACATTAAAAGGGAATTAGACCAATTTTTCAGCACTGTAATTGTAATTTACCAAGGAAAACGACACTGTAAGAGTTATAATATGTATAAGACTAGTAAATAATTTAGTTTAATAATTTAAACTATGTAAATAATTTAGAGCCCTATACCCTAATCAGCTATTTTAAAAGGGAATTTTTCACAATTTCTGTACATTCTATTCTGTATGATATGAACAAAGTCAGAGTGATTTCATGTGAACAGCTCAGTCCTAGAAAGACTTATAGAGTATTGTTCACAGTGGTGGGGATGGGAACCAGACGTCTGAAGAATGTAATGCATTTAAAAGCTCCCCCACAGAAAGTAATTACATGAAATGGAATGAATATGCTGCCTTTAAACTCCACCCAGCTAGAAAAACCAGCATAGACAAGCATATGTTGGGTTTTTGATGCTGGTATGCTGGTCAACCAGCATGACCATGCCGGATAACCTTTATAGGCCAGTTTAGACCAGCATAAACCAGCTTAGACGGACTGCGCTGATTTTTTCAGCAGGGCATTCATGGCTGAGAGGTACGTGCAGGGTGTTGTGAGGCAAAATAGTCCCCAATGAAAAGGTATTTTTTAGATTTATCACTATTTTATCATCATCGGCATTGCATAAAACTCAGACACATGTAGGTTGACTGTGTCTGAGGTTTTAAATAGTAAATAAAATGTTGTGTTGTAGACATTGCAACCCTTGCTTTTAATGACCATTGTAGAAAAACTAATTTTCTCGGTAATGAAGCTTTTCACATCAAACCATTCTGAATAAATTTAACTCTTAAAAATTTCTTAAATATTCTGCATTTCAATTCAGTGGTTGAGATGTAAACAGAGTCATTCAGGGTGGTTTGACGTGAAATGCTTCATTGTAGAGAAACTCACAGACTCTGATTTTTTTACAGTGGTGGTGATAGGAACCAGGGGTCGCCATGTCTACAGCACTAATATAGACATTTTATTTATTATCCAAGACGACTAGTAACCTACACGTGTTTTTATGTGTAGTGTTGATGATGGTAAAATAGTGGTAAATATGAAAAAATGAGACTTTTGGGGGGACTATTTTGCCTTAGAACGCCCTTCATGTACCCCTCCACTATAAATGGATTTAAATAAATTGATTGAAATTATTTTATACCAAAATCTTTAGCACAAAACTACTGTAAAACAGTGTCTCAGGCATCAGGCAGAGTATTCACAACCATTTCATGTAATAACATTCTGTGAAGGAGTTTTTAGAGGTGGATGTCTCGTTCCTATCACCACCACTGTAAAGAAATCTGACTTGGCAGGTTTCTCTAGAACAGAGCATCTCACATCTCACATCTCACAATGGCTTTATTGACTATTTAATTATACAGACATTTTGAAAAATCAGTGGACTTCCTTTCACTCTGTCTCTCTGCTCTTTGTGTTGTCAGTGAGGTGGTGGGGTTTTAGCATCGCCGTGTGGATGATTCTGGTACTGATCGTGATCGTAGTGGTCATGCTAAGTGTCTGGGTTCAGGTCTGCACAAGCAGACGCTGCTTTCACGGTAAGTCTGTTAACCTATCGCAGAAGCAGTACAGCTGAGGAAGACAGACAAACCACAGCTGAATGACCAACATTTCCTTGGCTTCATCTTTTGAAGTGCTGTGAAAGGACTGTAATATCTTTCTCTCTCTCTCCAGCACAGTCAGCGCCAGTTCGAGTCGCTGCCCATCGGCCTAAGAGCTTCTCCAAGCGAAGAGTTAAGTGTGAGTACAGCAGAAGCACAGGAATCTGAGACTAGTCCTGCTGTTACTCCTCATTTGACCCTTTAAATGCCCAGAGCCAACCAGTGGGCGCACGGTGTTATTACACTCTTCTATAATCTAAGAATAGCTCAGCCAGTTTACACTGAAGTCCTTGTAATTACTGAATAATAAGCCTTAGTATGTAATAAGCCTGGGGTTTTAAGGGGTTAAAGGGTCCATATCTTACGTTATTCATGTATTTTAAATTTTCCCCCTGAGGTCCATTTATGATTTTGTGGTTTTATGGACCAAAACGGTCCTAATTCATCTTTGCATGATCATTTTCCAGCCTCTCTTCATGTTATTAGCTGACTAGCTGTCCAGTATTTTAGCTTATTCAAATAGCAGGCCAAGCTGAAACACTACACAAAAAAGGTTCTTTAGGGGCTCTTTAGTAAAGGCAATGGTTCTATTTAGAACCATGAGTTCTATATAAAATCATTTGAAGGCTTTAATGGTTCTTGCATGGTGAAATGGTTCTTCAGATTGAAGGAGAATGTGTTCCATATGGTTCTATACAGAATCTTTTTGAAAATGCTTCTAAATAGCACATACTGTTATGATGTCAAGCTTGTAACAATAGAAAAACGTTTATGGCGCCTTATAGAGCCATTTTCATTTTCTGTTGTGTTGGTAATGCTGATCTATAGTTCTGTAATTCTGTTGTTTTTCAGCTTTAGGTGATTTGCCTGATATTTCTATCCCAGTATGGAGCGCAGAAGGTACGTGCGTGTGTGCCTGCTGGCATTTGGTTTGTTGACATGCCTATTTGCACATATAGTGAAAGTACAGAATGGAGCTACATAAATGAGAACTTTTCTTTATCCCTCTTTTGAAGGGTTTGACTGTAGTTTGAAAACTTTCATCTATCCCCTCAAGGCATTTTACAGCTCTCTGAGCTCAAACAAATAAAATAAATAAATAAACTCAATCTACCTTGAGGATTATATGAAAAGAGGGCACAGAAGTTTTTCTCTTCTTCAGATACTAGAAGTTTTGGAGAACAAAGGTTCTCTGAGGGCAGAAAGCATGATTGTTACGTTACATCTAACAGACATGTAAGCCTTTAAAATGTCTCTGTCATACATCTGTCCTCAGATGAAGAGCTGTTCTTAGAGAAGACGCCAAAGGATTACTCAAGAGGTAAAAGAAGAAGGAACCCTATTCAGTTCTCCACAGTAAATGTTACCCTTTATATGACTGTGCTGGGCTTTGTCTCAATATGCCACTCTAGCTTTGACATTTTGATGAAAATATATATGGAGAACATTGTAGGTCTCTATTTGCTACTTGGGCAGTGATCTTATTCATAATTTGCTGGTGTCAGTCTGACTTTTTTGTTCTTGTCAGATATAATAATTTTGATTGCACTGATCACACAGTGGCCAGTTTACTGGAAACTCCTATCCTGAACTTCCACCTTGCTGGTGTACAGTTAGATACTGCAGTCCATCTATTGAGATATAATTTGTGTTCACCCTCTTGCCCCTCACCAGTGGTCAGTTTCTGACCACAGAGCTGCTCTAAGCTGGATATTTTTGTCTGGTTCACCACCCAAATAATACCTGGTCAATGATGGTGCTAATAAATTGTGCAGCAACAGAGGAGTTACAGTCTGTAATTGTACATCTATATATTGAAGGTATAAGGAAGGTGTTTCTAATAAAGTGGCCAGTGAGTGAAAGTATAAGGTGGGTGTTTCTAATAAAGTGGCCAGTGAGTGGAAGTACAGAGTAGGTGTTTCTAATAAAGTGGCCAGTGAGTGGCAGTACAAAGTAGGTGTTTCTAATAAAGTGGCCAGTGAGTGGAAGTAAAAGGCAGGGGTTTCTAATAAAGTGGCCAGTGAGTGGAACTAAAAGGTTGGTGTTTCTAATATAGTGGCAAGTGAGCGGTAGTGCGAGGTAGAGTGATGAGAAGATATAGTTGGTTATGTTGTTTATTGAATTCGAATCAAACTTTCAGAAGTTGTTTCAGAAGAACTGCAAGGGGTTGATTTAGAGAGTTATGTCTGTACTGAAGTGTTCTTCAGCTTCCAGCTCTGGAGGGCTACAACATTGCCCAGTTCAGTGGACTTTTCTTCTGAAGTAAAAACTCTTTGTTTTATTTTTTTCACAGAACGGCTTCATTTGTCATATCAGGAAATGTACAAGCGAGGTAAGAGTTTGGCTGTGTACTGAAATTCATACTGTAACTCACACCTCCTTTTATACTGGCTTAATGCATTTTAATTAACGTATGAGGGATATCTTTGCAGTTTTAATGGTTCACTGATGCTTCTTTAGCCTATTGCCATATAGCTTTTTACTGAAATGCAACAAAGTCTAGAAGAAAGGAGGTCACATCTGTGTGCCATCATTTTATCCATTCATTCTTCTTAAGAGTACACTGAACAGTGTAGACTAAGAGCTTTTGTCTATGGCCAGCCACCCAGGATGCTGTAAAACTGAGAGCAAGTATTAGATCTTTTTTGTCAGTCAATGATGCACAAAGATGTTAATTCTGTGAGAAACTAAGAGTTTATAATCCATTGTGTCTTACACCATGTCTGATTTCTCTGTTTAAGCAGGACTGTCCCCTATTTTTGAGGTGTCTTTGACAGGTATGAGTGCATGACACACATACATGCTTATGCTCAAAAGATATTTATATATTATTTTGTATTTTCCATTGTATTGTGAAATTAAATTAAGGTAGGTGTGAAATTACGTGTGTTTATTTTTTGTGTGAATACTTCAGATGTCTCTTTGGATGAAGATTATGAAAAAAAGAAGTCTGAGAATATAATAACAGAAGAAGGTAAGTAAGCATTACAAAGATATAGACTTGTTATGAAAGTCTTGCAAAGGACCATGAATTATTAAAAGCTCTGGTACCCCAATACAATTTTCAAATTAATAATTTACATTACATAATGAATAGCATGTAATTGTCTTGCTACAGCATCTGCCAGCCCAAATAGTCTCACATATCCAAGCAGGCAAACTTAAAACATACAGAAAGAAACAGTGAAAGGAAAACCCAGCACTGGGGAAATTACTCAATCAAACTAGGGAAAAGCTTAGTTGGTTCACTGTTTTCAATTGTCTTACAGTTTTTAACTGGCTCTTTATAATAATGTGTATTAATAAATGTGAATGTGGATGTACACATTAAAATGTAGTTAACTTTAAAACTATATGGTTATAAGGGTAGTTATGCCGAGCTTAGTTACCCGTCAACACAGTGAAAACCTCAAATTAGCATATACACTCATTGACCACTTTATCAGAAGCCCCTCTGTTGTAGCTCCTTGCTTGTGTTCGGCTAGAAACTGTAGTGCAAATGTATTGATGCAATTTGGGCTGGACTACAGTCTGTAATTGTACACCTACACAGTGGATCAATAAGGAAGGGGGGCCTCATATAAATGGGAGAAATAAGGTGGGTGTTTCTAATAAAGTGGCCAGTGAGTGGAAGTACGAAGTTGGTGTTTCTAATAAAGTGGCCAGTGAGAGCAAGTACAAGGTAGGTGTTTCTAATAAAGTGGCCAGTGAGTGGAAGTACAAGGTAGGTGTTTCTAATAAAGTGGCCAATAAGTAGATTATAAGTGTAGAAAATATTACCTGTAGAACTTTGTTATACAAAGTATTTATGGGTCAAAAAACTGTGTATGTCCTACCTTTTGTTGCACAGGGTCAGAGGATTCCCTGAACTTTCACCAAGGTCCAGCCCACACACAGTCCTTACGTAAGTGACTTTTCTACAGCATACACACTACAGAATCAGCAGCACATTGAGTGAATTAATTAGTCTAGAATTAGATTTGCATTGAAGGCCATTTCAAATCAGTTTAAACTTAGTATGCATATACAGCAATGCATGTTCATTAACATCAGTTTCCTGTTGTAATGACTCTTTCTCTTGCTCTCTCTAGCTTGCCTGCACCATCGCACTCATCCCTCTCAGAAAGACGAAGAGGAATCAACATAAATGTGAAAGGATGTTCTGCCATTATGAAAAACTGATTTCTCAACTTTTCAATTTCCGTTTGTTTTCATTTAAGCTGAAATATAGTGCTATGCAAAAGAAATCTGCAGGAATTTTTTCTATACCTCAAAGTTCAGTCTTAGAAGTTGGTTGCATTTTCTGCTTCTCATGGTCCAAGTAATCCCAAACACATTCAGTGCTGTTGAGGTCTGGACTCTGGGGTGGTCAGTCCACTGTTCTGAGAACACCAGCAGCTTATTTGTTTGTTTCGTCCATTATCTTTTCTCAGTACTTACTTCTTGTCAGCTACACATCTATTTAGACTCATAGTGTTGAGTTGCCTTCTCACAGTGGAAGGATGGACAGAAACACCTTTGGATTCAAGTGGAGCTTGATTTTCCTCTCTCTCTCTCAAAAATGAAAGGCTCGGTTTATTTAATGGGGACAGTGCTGGTGGTCTACCAGGTCTTTCAGGTGGTTGTTAGGAATCCTATTTCTTTATATCTTTTCGCTTTGACTTTCTCCTTCCTTATACCAGCAGATTATCTTATATCTCATTGTCTCAGAAATATCTCTTGAAGATTAATAACATGTACTTAATGGTGGCAAATTTAATAAAACAAAAAGGATGGCTTTTGCACAGTACTGTATATTTTACAGTTAAGTAATAAAAAAAGAGAAACAATCATTAATGTTTGACATTTTATTGATGTGAAAGGCATGAATGGTCCTAACTAAGGCAGATATCAGTTACAAACACCTCTTCAGTATTTAACCTCTTTTTGCAATATTTATTAAAGCACTTTGGTGGTTTCCCTTCTTATGTAATAGCGCACAATAGAATTAGATTGTTGTTAAACATTTAGTAACATCTAAGTAGTAGTTTCAAAAAATATATTTACATTTGCTGATACTGCCCATAGCAACTCACCAAAGTGAAGGGCCTTAGTCAAGGGCAGAATAGCAGTAGCCATCAGCTGGGGTCAAATGCTGTGAGTCAAAGCCAAGATCAGTGGTCATATGGTTGGCTCCCATTATTGCTGGATGGCTACCAGCATAAAGCACTTATGGAAGTAAACAATGCCAAACTAGATTATTAATGGAACACTTTAGTGTCAACCTAATCTCTATCTGCTGCATCTGTATAATCGATTACAACAGACAATAATTTCTCTATTGCCTCCCAGCATACTTACAATATATATATATATATATGCAAAAGTTTGGGCACCCCTGGTCAAGCAATCTTGTTGATTTTGCACATTTTTATTCACAATTACTTTTATTTGCTGATTGTAACACATTGGAAAAGTGGCCTGTGGCACATTTTATATTTTCCAATTTAAACTTATAAAGCAATTTGGCATCAAATTTTAAAATATAATCAACCATATGCTACAGATACAGCAGATAGAGATTAGATTAAAAACGCTGAGGTGTTCCTCCAACACATAGGAATACACATTGGCAAACAGGTGAAGCACTTCGGTGGAACTTACATCTTTATATGCATTTCTTAGTTTGTTCAGAGAGAAAATAAAACATCAGGGGAGGTACGAATCTATCCATTTACTCATACATTAATGCTACAGATCCAAATTTAATAACTGGTTATAAACCGAAACGTCACTACATACCAACAACGTGGAATGTCTTTCTTTGCTGGCTATTTTAAAAGCATGCAGATTTTTCTAGGCTTTGCTATTTGACTACAAAGCTAATCAAACTAGCCAAAGCCTCAGTCAGTGTTCATGAGCAAATGCTGCTAAAGCAGAAATGCCAAAGACTAATTTTCTGACATTTGCATTAAATCATTATTCAATCAGCGTAAGCGGTGGCAGATCTGCCCGGGCTTTGGCCCTCAATCAAGCTGGGTGACATATTATGCAGATGTAGCATCTATTCACTTCGTTTCATTTCTGGCTGTTGTGTGTGCCAGATTTATGAAGCAACTGACTTGCTGTAGCATTGCTCGTAGAGTTATAGGCCACGAGGAGGTTTATTTCAGTCGTGCATTTATGCAGAAGTCGTCTCAGGCTAACTGAAACTATTTTTGTGTGATTCTCTATGTGGTTCTAGAATTCAGACCATTTTGAGCTATTGATTATGGAAGGCTGGCTTTACACAGTGAAAGTTTCAGCTGCATGTTGTCAGTTGCCTGCAACATAATTACAGTGCAACCTGACAGTTACACGAAACAATTACAAGTAATCAAAGTTGCATGCAACACCTTTAGTTACTCCACTAGTTAACTAAACTAGCAGCTTGTATGTTTTGACACACCATATCGTTTTTGCTCTAAAGTCACCCGCAAGGCGTAATTCACACGTGAAGCATTTTTATTATCTTTATACATTCTTTTCCAGCTCGCATTGCCATTCGTCTTTTCAAACTGTTATTCTATGGTTCTTTACTATATATTTGCTTTTTCTGTTTTGTAGCTGTGTATTTTAAGCCTTTAACTAGCTGTTATAGTCATAACTGATTTGATGTATCACTCATCCAGTCCTAAAAGCAGTTCAGTGAGGAGTACATCTTGGTCTCCCTTTCTGTGAGCAGTCATCTAAACAGCTGCTAGCGTTAGAGTGGCTCAGGAAACTGACAAAATGGGCTATAAGGGGAAAGCTTGGAAGTTTAAATTGGCTTGAAAAAGCTGTTGCTACGAAATCCCAGGTGGGTGCTAAGGTGTTGCTAGGTCATTTCTATGATATCCCAAGTGGTTGCTAAGGTGTTGTTAGGACATCCCTGGTGGTTGCTTAAGGTTTAGCTTGGCCATTGCTATAGTAATTTGTTGCTCGGCCATTGGTATGGTATCCCAGGTGGTTGGTAATGTGTGTATGTTTGTGTATGTGTGTGCTAGTATGTATGTGAGTCTCTGTGTAATGTCTATGGGGCAGTGTGAGAGATATCCTTTGTGACATCATTTGCGGCACTTAGATTTGACTTTTCTCAGCATTCCTGTTTTCTGTCTTTTCTGTTATCAGCATTTTGATTTGCTGCTTCATGAAGCTCGCTTGACGCTCTGATGTCTTCAACAGTTGCGGCTGGGTTTAAGCGAGTTGCAGGACACTTTGCAACTCGAGCACAATTTAGTTTCATGCAGGTTTCAAGCAACTAAAGTTGCATGAAAGTTTCACTGTATAAAGCCACATTAGACACCATTGTTACATCACAATGCAAACAAAATTCAATGTGAATCAATGAAAAGGATCTAAGTGGAAAACACCAGCATAAGCTTGAAACTCATAATTCCTGTCCCTTTCAAATACAGGCAGCTTAGTCATTTTTGGTTAGTCTTCAAAAAAATTCATAATGGATTTGGTTTGTGACTTGAAGGCAAATGCACTGCATAGCGCTCAATTTCATGTCATTACATTATAATACAATCAGTCACTAGTGTCTGCATTTGTTTATACAGTAAGTGAACACATTAAAAGATACTATTATCAGGACTGGCACTACAGCATCCTAAATAAGTTATTATAATAAGTCTATATTATATTCTGAATTAGCTGTTCTAAATATCTCTATGTGGATTGCTTAACTGTACACGAAGGCGTTGCACATTGCACTTTTTGCAGAAGATTACAGAAGAAAGCAGCACACACTGTAACATACATGAGTCAGTCACGCACACATACGCAGGGGAGGTCAGTCTGTAGGAGCTGGTTCTGGGTCAGTTTTAGCTGGAGTTTGGCTGGTCTGAATGTAGGAAATCTGCAGAACAGGCAGCAGCAGCTGGAAAGCATTCTGAATATACGTAGTGCTGTTGGAGCCCTGTGGAGACAGACACACATGTGTATATGTACATGTATATGTATATATGTAGATGTTATATACATACAAATTATAGCAGCTGGGAAAAGCAGCAAACATATATTTAACCAAAAAAATACACAGAAGCCTCAACAAATAAATATAACACATTTTTTTCAGTATTCAGTGTCTCCACTCTTTGCCTTTATTACAGCTTCCATTCTTTTTAGCAGATATGTGTTCAGTTTATCAAAGAAACCTGCAGGGATATTTTTCCACACCTCCAAAGTTCAGTCTTAGAAGTTGGTTGTATTTTCTGCTTCTCACAATCCAAGTAAACTCAAACACCTTGAATGATGTTGAGGTCTGGACTTTGGGGTGGTCAGCCATTGTTCTGAGAACATCAGCAGCTTCTGTCTTTAATAAGTACATCTTGATCATTTCAGCAGTGAATGTAACCTTGCTGAATTTTGTCTCAAACTGTTTCCAGGAGGTACTGCTTGATGTATTAAAATATCAGCATTCATGATGTCTTCAATCAAAAACAAATCACCAACTCTGGATGTTGTTATACATCCCCAAACTTGCACTGATCATCCACCATGCTTGACTGATGGTTGTCGAAATGGTCCAAAGAGACGTCTGTTGCTTCTGCAGCACAAATACTGCCTTTAATTACTTTCTGAGATCTCAAATTTAGACTTATCAGTCTATAAAACATTCCTCTTCATCTCAGATGTCCAAATGCATTGTTATTGTGCAGATGTTCTTCTTTTTTTTTATCTATTTCCTTTTCTCAGTAACAGCTTCTTGACAGCTACACATCCATTCAGATCCATAGCTTTGAGTGGTTTTCTCAGAGTGGAAGGATGGACAGAAACACCTGTTGATTTTATCAGATCTGAAGCAAGAGTGGAGCCTTAGTCGCTGTTAATCTGATGCTAGCCCATTGTTTTGGTGGTCTACCAGGCCTTGCAGGTGGTTGGAGCCTTTCAATCATTTTTTTTACTCAAATTTTGGAAACTATTTTTTCACTCACTTCCTCTTTCTTATGCAAGTGGAATCTCTAATATCTAATCTCAGAAATCTCTACCCCCACCATTTTTGTGATTACCTCAAACAACACGCTGTTTACCAAAGGGTTCAATTCTTCTGCTTTCCTCTGGCTCTAAAGGTGGAGAGAGAGAAAGGAGAGAGAGAAAAAAATAAGGTGTATATAAAGAATCAAGAATGTTAAGGTCACCCTAGTCTCTCTGCTGCGTTCAAATCACACTGTTGATTCCACAGACAATCATTTAAAAAAATCAGAAAAAAACAGAAAAGGTACATGGAGAGTAATTAGAGATGCCCCTGGTAAAACATTACTTGGGTAAAAGTACAAGTCTTCTATATTTGTACTTGAGTTCAATTTGTGGCTGCAAACAGGAAGCAAACTTCTCTGTTTAATAAACAAATCACTGAAAACTCTTGGGATATTAGGGGTTGCACAAATTCAGATTAGTTAAAGTGGACAGTTATGTGATGAAAGTCGAGTCAACGTTGACTAATCGCTGATGGCATCATGAATCAAACCACAGGAGAAGGCAATGCTTTGCAACAAGTGACTTTAAAAATTTTGACTTTTAAAATCCGTGACAAAACCAAACTCCATGGCTCAAGAGAGCGTGACGTGCCCTTTCCCTCGAGCCCTGGATCGCATTGCTAGCCTTTAGGGAAAATCTCCCAAATTTGTATCCGACTTAGGCGCACCCTAGGCATCTTTGCTGAGATGCTTGAAAACACCAGAGGTCTGGAGAGCCAGAGAAATTTAGAGCACCATAATTTTAATTTGTCAGAGGTGCTCAGGCCTAGTTATATTTGCTAAGCTACACTTGGACAATTTGGTATTTAGGGGTGTGGTTTAGAAAATGATGTGCCTTGATTGGGTTGTGTCAATTTGAAAATGCATCATTCAAACATATGTTGAGCCAAAAGGTTTCCTGTTCTTTTGTAAGCACAGCAGAACACGTCAAAATTCTTGTCTGTGATAACTGATCACACAACACTGACGCAGCAGATAGAGACTGTGTTGAAATATGCCAAAGCACTCGTTTGAACTGCAAACTCCATTAAACATAGAAGACACTAATTTCAGAACAGTGCTCTCCAGCTCTGTCACATAGTTTGTGTAGACTGAAACTGATGCCTGACCAGTTACTCACCCCCACAGTCAGAAGTGTATCAGAGAACATGCGCGCCAGACAGCCCACCTCCTTACACATAGCACAGGTCAGCCTGAAAGGCAAGAGGTCGGAGGTCACAAAGCTGAGGTCACTTCAAAGAGCTTATTTAGAATACTTTTGAACACTTCTGGCACCATAGTAAAAGTGAACGGGATTCAGTTGTGCACACAAAATCACAACAATGCTTTTTTTGATGCATTATTGTTATGACTTTGCGACTTGGAGTGCCTATCGTGATAAATACTGTCATAGCTACTACAATGCTGCGAACGTGTCTGAAATCGCTTACGAAAAACACAGCACTGATGCAACACATTCGGCAGACTGTGCTGAACAGAGCTTGCAAGACAGGAATAAAGGCGCTAGTAAAGTGGAAAGCTTCAGTTCCCTTCAAAACAAGACGTAACACAGCTGTATGAGAGCAAGAGGTCTACAATAGGAAAGGATGTGGAACATGCAGCCATGGTTGCTCTCACTGGATGTCGGTAATGAAGACTAACAACTGTATTCACCTTATTTTTATGTTTACACTGCGATCACAGTTAATAAACAAATACAAATGATGTTAATAAAATAAATTCAGTATTACTTGTAGTTTTCATTGCATACCTAGTTTATCTAATCAATGCTCCATTATGTTAACAATCCATGCAACAGCTGGAGGCGTCCAGAAGAAATTCGGAATCAAACTTTGCTCTTCAAACTAACTCACAAGATATCAACTACTGTTTTCAAACTAAAACGTTTCTGTTACTTCTTTCTGTATTTATGTTTATTTGCATTTATTCTAATGGTATATGTTTTTTTTCAAACAAAACAATACTTGACTGACAAGATACATTGTGTTGAAGTGCCTAAGACTTTCGCATTCATAAATATATAGGTTTCTGAGCCAATCCCATCTCAGGATCATAATGTATACAAGGTGATATAGCAGCAGCAAGAGCTTATCCAGCAGGTCCAGGAACATGGAAAGAAAGTCTAGACCAAGCAGGCCAAGTACTATGACTGCTGGAGGACTACTGCCTGCGTCCAGAGTGGACATAAGGCGTGAGGGAGATCCCATATACTGTCTCAATATACACACACACACCCGCGCACCCACCTGGACAGTATTTTGGCCTGCTGGGCAGCTGGTTTCTCCACGTCTTGTCCGTGCAGTATCAGTTCAGCCACTTTATGGAGCTGCTCTATACTACGAGCCGTCACCTCTGCAAGACTGCCTACTGAGGACAGATACACACTCTGCACACACGCACAGACAGAGAAGTCATTCATCTACACTACTGTTCGAAAGTTTGAAATAAAATGAAAACCACACTGGCTTTAATCAAATATGTTAGTCCTGAGCAACATCTCAGGTGTCAAATAACTAGTAGAAAGTAGTCATCTGATATAAAAAAGTAAGATCATGATAATGACCAAATCTTTTACTGTGATTTATGAAATCACAATATTGTATTAAGGAAATATACATGTGGTGTCTGATGACTTTCTGAATGGAAAAATACTTTATGCCTGTGCAAAAATTACTCTGCAAATAATTGGATGGTAGTGTATGTAAAGGAGTGTATTAATGAACTCCCCTTTCTTAAGTAAAATTCTCATGTCAGTTCATGACTGCTTTTGCCTTGCTCATAGAACTAGAGTGGTTTAACAGGGTCAGTTTTACTGCTGCAAATACCCCCAGTCCTGCATACTGGCTCTCACCTCCAGTTTGTTGGGGGAGCCGTTATCTGCATTTCCCTTCTCGACTTCTTTCTCACTCCCTTCTTTTTTCTCTCCTTCTTCTAATACATGAGTGGTTGAAGTGGCAGAGTCGTCTTTGCTCGCTTCCTCGGTTGCCTCCTTAGCAACGTCCGTGGCAGCGGGCTTCTCCACCTCTTTCACCCAATCGTACGCCTTCACACGGGCCTACAGCACAATGAGGGGCATGAGTTATAACCAGAGAGAGTGCTGGAGGCTGCGTCTGTGTGCATGTAGATGAATTCTAGATGAACCCACAGGATTACTCGACCTGAATATTAATAGCGTATGTATATGGAGATGAGAATATACAGAATAGGAGAAACAGACAGAGAGAGAGAAAAAGAATGAGAGTGTACCTTGTTCAGTTTGTCTGGTGTAGCAGCAACATGTAGCTCAAAGAGCAGCTCTGTGAGAACACTGACAAATTCTTCCCCATCAGCAACTAAACAAACACACGATACACACAAAAAGTTTACTGAGCTGTATTGCTCATACAGCATAAACATAATACAACAAAACTTAAATTATGAATCCAGTAAGGAATCAGTTTGCTGACCAGTTATCCTCAAATTAAGGAGTATAAATCTGGACTAATTAAAATAGGCCCAAACAGCATTTACAGGTGGTAATAACAACTCATTCTGAAATTCACCCTTAAAAACAATATTACCATTTAATAATTAACCATTACGTGAAGTACGTTCATCACTGCAGTACAAAACATTTCCAGTTGGCAGTAATAGTCAGGCGGAAGCCCAGCTGCTCGCATGCACTGAATTACCAAGCCTGACTGAGTAAATACTGACTGTGTGCTATTTAAGCTTGTCTTATTGCTGGCACTAACACGGCTGCAACTGTTTGTGCTCAGACAGAAACAACAGAGTTTTTCAAACATACACTATGTGGCCAAAAGTATGTGGACAATACTAGTCACTGAGTTCAAGTGTTTCAGCCACACCCACTGCTAACAGGTGGATAAAGTCAAGCACATAGCCATGCAGTCTCGACAGACAAACACTGGCAGTAGAATGGGTCATACTGATAAGCTCAGTGACTTTAAACATGGCACTGTCATAGGATGTCACCTCTGCCGCAAGTCAACAAGTGTAGCTTTGTTATATTTATAACTTAAAATTTGTAGCTCTGTTTCTGAGAATTTTGGTTTTCTTTGCTTCTTTGTTTTCGTTTCTTTTGGCTGCCAACCGGAGCTTCACTTGATGGGTCTTCAATGTGTATGATGTCATTTACGTAAGGATTTTGATTGGCTGCTGCCCAGGACACAGGTGAGAAATACCACGCCATTAAAAATACAGTGAGACACTAATGACCGCCATGGTGACTTTCAATTCATGTTAATTTAAGGGGAAAAAAATTGATTGTGAATTGCATAGCTAAACACCATAGTATCAGCCATCTTGAAGCCTGAATTTGAGTTCTTTTTAGATAGCAGTCTGTCATACAGTGTTAGAAACCCCATAAGCATGTCTTGGCTGGAGAAAATTATGCAAATGTAATGTTCGTCCAAACCATCGCTTGGATATTTGCCTTTACTTAATTTAGTAGGTAATTCTGATTCGTACACATGGTTCCAATCATGACCACCACCATCATTTTTTATGATTTTGAATTCGATTTATATCTGGTTCCTTCTGATCTGTGTTCACAACTCACGGAGAGGGCTGAAAGAGTGAATTTGGGAATAAAGATCACCGTTTTCCTCAGCACTCGTCTCATCCTCCTCTTCCTCCCTCGCGATGAAGATCTCCTTAATCTCAATCAGCTCCTTCTTCACAAGCTCCAACTGCTCCCCCTCCAAGGAGGCAAGAGCGGCCTGAACCTGAGGGAGAAGAGAACGGGATGGAATGAAAGAGGAGGAAAGAGAGCAGAGACACAAAAACATGAAGCGCTCGGAGTCTCAAAGGGAAAGAACAATGGGATGAGAATTGGGAATTACAACATGACAACTGTCAGAAGTCTTTGAAGAAAAACTTCTAACTGTCTGCTGACCTGTTTTTCTACTTTCTGTCCGTGTGTCTTTCTGTTTCTGTGTGTGTGTGTGTGTGCGTGTGTGTGTGTGTGAGTGAGAGAGACTGAGAGAGAGAGACAGAGAGAGAGACACACTCACCCTCCCCTCACTCTCGTTGGACAGTATCTCCAGAGCTTCCAGGTGGGACAGGCCTTGGTAATCATCAAACAGGATGCTGTAATGAGCCGTGGGTTCGGAAACTGTCTGACTGCTCAACTTCTCCCGCTCTTTCTCTTTGGCCTCCTTCAGCACCTGCACACATCCGGGAATCATAAGATCTCAAATTTTACCAACGTTTGAACTGATTATTTTGGTACTATTCAGGATCAGGATCAGCATGCTGAAAATGCAAATATCTTTAAAATAATATAGCAGTGGAATATAGACAAACACAACAAGCATAAAACTCGAGTAACAGCACAGTGCTACACCACAGTAAATATGCAGCACAGTAAATAAGCTAAAGACTTCAGAAACAGAGCTACCAATTTTAAATGAAACAGTGTAAGAAATAGTAAATTATTTGGTGAAGCTGCTTTTAACTTTTACTCAAGAAACTTTATTATTTAACTATTTTGATTATTATATTATTAAAATATAAATTATAACATCTTACAATTACATTTATACTTTTATAAATTATTACAATTCTAATTTTAGCATGTAAGATTTCATTTCTCACTGGTAAGTATTCAAGCCTTTTACCACTTCCTGACAATTGCAGTAACAATTTTTACTGACATGAATTAAAGTTTAACGTGTTGAAATTTTAGGACATTCACATACTGAAATTCTAATTACTATGGCAGTCTGTTTTAGCTTCTATTTGTTATTTTTCTTGTTTATTTTCTTTACAAATGTCAAAATAATTTTAAACTAGTGCATATTTTTTTAGCTGATCTCAGGAATTCAATCTGCACAGGTGAAAATTAAAATCCCACCAATTAATAACAAAAATTAAGTTTTTAGTTATGAGAAATACAATTTTACTGGCAAAAACCTCACTTTCACATGTGTAAACTGAATTCCTTTGTAAGATCCACTGTAATCTCAAAATGGGCTTAAAAACCTTAAACTGTTTTCAATAAAATGAATTTAGTTAGAATCTCAACATGTCGAATTACTTCACTCATTTGGATTTCAAGCTAATCCTACTTTCCACTAACAGGGGGGTTTGTGAAACACAGAATTTGGCGGATGAAGAAGAACACTGCCAGTTAAATCTGCCAATCTGAAATCTGTCTCAAGCAAGTCTTCCCCCTCCTCGGGGGAAAATTACTGTCAGAGTGGTTCAGGTATTAAGTTCTGCTGAACTGTGTCATGCTATGATTCACTAAAGGCCCATTATGTGGTATTTTTACAAGGGGCATAAAAACTACAAGGTAACTAACTTACTTCACTGGAATTTGACAGTGCTCTCAAGTTAAGATATTCAAAAAAGTATGTTGAAATAACTGTCTTAAGCCATATTTGAGCTGATATTTGAAGATTCAGTAATGTGTAAGGATTTTGACTGTTCATTCTTTCTTACTGACACTAATATCAAAGTTAGGCAGAATTCACATGCCTGACTTTTACAAGTCAAAAATGCATAATGATGCATAGTTTATTGATTATTATAGCTCATTTTAATTCATTCTAACATTCCAAACTGCAAATAAATCACCAAGTATGTGCTTAAACATGCATAAAGGCACAAATGCAGACATGCAATGTGTGGTGCAACCCAGACATAATGTCAGGAAACAGATTCTCTAGTGAATTGTCATGGTTAGTGAATGGTCATTTCTACAGAAAAGTTATTTCTAGTGAATGGTCATTTCTTGTGTCAGATAGCCGTCTCACCTGGGATAGTGACACAGTTCTCTCCATGAGGATTTTGGTCTTTTTAAAGCCCGGGTCACTCTCTGCCAACACTGTCATCGTCTTCTTCCCAATAAACTCCAATGCATCAAGACCTCCAGTCAGCACAGACTTACCCTGAGAGGCAGAAACAGACAAAAAAGTTTTTGGTTTTTGAGTCAGATAAGGAGGAGGAGGCTTGAGTAATGGAAGCTAATTCTTCAGAAAGAGAGAGAAACAGATATTAAGGAGCAGAATAGATCTGTTTAAATTTGCTTTTCTTCCAAAGGCCCTGGAAATCATGTTAAAATGCATGGAATTCATTGCCCACAGAATCACTGGACTTCCCAGTCTCCGGAACTAAATTCCACAGATAACCAGAGTCCACAGGCAAGAATTAGTGATGCATTGAAATGTGAATTGTGAGACGATGCTAATATTCAGTATTTTTCATGGACGGATTAGGACTAGATCCACCTGGATTAGTATTATAGAGAAATGCAGCCCTTATTTGTGTAGGATTACAAATACAGTAAAGTGAACAAATTGCAGACATTTTAGCACAGCGGCCTAGCGTTGCCTAAATGTTCTTCCCTTTCGGAGTACAATAAATACTCCAATATGACTCCCATATCATTGTGCATCCCCAGAGAGAACCAAATACTTCTGAATACTGGAATGGTCTCAAATGTCATGTGTTTCTGAGAAAAAAATGCTAAGAAAACAATGCTTTTTTCTAACGATTTTCTTCCTTGAAATATATTATCTCACTGAACAGTTACATTTCTTATATATTTCCAGTGTAAGACGGTAAGATGGTAAGTGTAACTGGTAAATAACAAACATCTTCTCCAAGAGTGCCAATAATTGTTGCTGAATTGTTCTGAGGCAAACACTCAGAACGATTTGAGAGAAGCTCTTCTACACTAGATGAACAGAATACAAAATGATCTGTAGCTGAGGTAAAAACAACACTCACTGCTTTAAATGCAACAAGACCCTTTGCTAGTTCTCGAGGTGAATAACAACTTAGCCTACTACAGGCTAATGAATGAAAGCTTATTCCTTTGCTATAAATCTACTCTACAGATCTGACACAATAATGGAAATGATAAAACAGATAGTCCTGGTCCTAAAATCTGATTGACCGAGTCACGTTCAAAGCCGATGTAAAGCATATACGCACCTATGACCGCCTTACAATTCTGCATTTATGCATCTTCACTAAAAACACTGTGCTGTGAATGGACTAATAAACTGCCAGTCTACGTCAAATGAAAACGATGTTTCAAAGCAAAATGATGTCTTTTTGACAAAATGACTTACTGGTTAGAGTTTGTTCAGTGCGGTATGTGAACCCAGTTTAGTTTAAGAGCAGACAAATTATTTTCTCAACAACTTGTGATAGCAGGCTACAGAAGCTAAAAGAGAGCTAACAGGCTAAACCACTCCCCCATTGATACTGAGTGTTAGGCTTTTAAGTATTTACTGAATAATTCACTCTAAAACGAAAGAATATCTTATTTGAATGTCTTAAATGCTTCAAATATCCATGTTTTGGTTCGATCTTTCTTAAGTAGTGTTAAACGCAGTGTGAGAAAACAACTGTGCTAGCTTGATGCTAACACATTACAGGAAATCACATTGAGATGCTAGTGGAAATTACCCTTATCATTGCTGTGGTAATTTGTTGACTAAAAACTACATATAAGGTGAATGGTTCTGCATTAAACACTGCTGTATTATGATATTTCACAGCTATATTATTATAGTTTCGTTAAAATAAAAAGTTCAAATGAATTAACTCCAGTAATGGGTGAGTGGAAGTTCCTGCACTCCTTTAGCAGTCCGCAGTTGCTTAGCTACAACAGCATACTCTGAATGAAGAACATTTCTCGGTGGAAAAATCATTAATTGTTATTATTATTAATTATAATCAACATGTAAATGTTTTTTTGTATTGTTTTATGTTTTATGCTGTTGCTATACGATAAAGGCAAAAAGCCACTTGAGGCCAGACATTACAGTGATTTTACCATGAGTAAGTGGTGTTCTTAGAACATGCAGTGGAGTAAATCACAAGCATGCCCTCTTGTGGCCAGTAGCTTTAATAACCCATAACTGTAGCGCTCTCATAAACAGTATCCATAAGAGTATCAATAAAATCCTAAGTGTGTCCGTTCTTTCTGAGATTTAAACTGACACTCTGACAAAAAGATAGAGATTAAGGTGTGCACTGACAGTGTTCTGTACAGCGCTGGTGATGGTGGACAGCACTCCTCTTGGTGCGCTGCTGGACTGGGCCGCTGACCCGTCTGTCTGACCAGTCTGATCTGGTTCTGTGGACTCAGCAACTGGATGCTCTTCAGCCTCCTGACCTTCCTCACATGAAGATGGCTGACGAATCCGCAAGGCCACACCTGCTTTCTCCTTCACAGAGCTTAATCCGTGACCTGGGCATTTAGTAGCAGGGTGGTGAAAGGTTATAACAAACATGTTAAAGTCAGGTTTGGATGCATTTCTGTACAAAAATAGTTAAAAGGCATCCAAACCTGACTTAAAACAAGAGAATAAAAAAACGTTTGTTTGTCTTTTTGTTATGAAGAGAACTAATGAAAAATAACAAAATAAGAGGTGAAAAACAGAAACCAACAGTGCAAAGCATGCTGGGTAGCTCCAGCCAATGGACTACAATAAATTAAGACTGTGTAAATTAAGAACTGGGAATCATATCAGTCAGTAAAGCACTATTTATCTAAATCTACTGGAATATAAAATTAAAATATAAAATATAAATACAAAATTATTTTGGACAATATTAGCGGCTATCAGAATTTTTAGCCTCTTAAAATTGGTCATGAAATTTTCATATATACAGCATTCTGTCGCTAGGATGTTTTCCAAGGCATTGACTCACTGTAAGGTTACTATGGTAATGCATTAATAGCCACAGGGACCATGAAGAGACTCACCCACTGTGGACGTGGCACTGGTCAGCAGGGACTTTCCCCAGGAACCCCATCCACCCCAGCCTTTAGATGGAGAGTGCTCTGAGGCCTGAGAAGCAGCACATATCCTTGTTGGTCAGTATGTCCATGTTTACAGACAACAGAACCATACAGTGTCAGGAAAACCACATTAAGAAGGCTATTTTACACAGGCTGTGTTCAAATCCAAAGCCAAGTCACATTTGAGATGTCCTACAAAGGCAACAGTTTATGATGACATTGCCATTTTGCTGTGTTGCTAGCTAACATTTGCTAACATCAGTTGTTAGCATTAGTTGTTACCCAGAAAAAAATATTTTAAGAAGGCTATGAGACTATAGTTTAATGACCAAGTGTGGTAGCTCCCATGAATTAAACGTTTGTCTACCAGAAAGAAGCTCTAAATCCCACTGGACACGCTACGTCACACAGCATCCAAAAATCAAATCCATTGTTTCTAAAGAAGGCAGCACTGGGGCTTGGTGACTCCGAGCAATTCAGTTTCAATTTTTGTTTAATTTCTCAGCTTGTCACAGTGTGTCACTCAGCATTTTGTCATCACTACATTAAATGAAGCAACATTGAGACCACAGAAAGCCAAAGTTTATAGCATGTGGCTTGAAATTTACACAGGGAGAGGCAGTCAGTCTTTTAGATAAACAAACAAATGCTTACTAGTCCTTTTTTTGTCGTACCTTTCAGCTTGAAAATAGTGAGTTTGTGTAGTAAAATAATGTCAAGTGTGATAAAGATGTTTAAAGTTTTATTTCATTAAATTTTCCCTACATGTAGAGTATAAAAATGAACCTGAACATGACATTTATCATGCTCTCACTGCATACATTCTACAGCAGCACTGTGCTATATGACGCTGCGTGACGCTACCTGGCGCGTCCAGTTTGCAGTGGCCATAATGCTCAAAAAGCAGCAACATTTCACTGGTTTTATTGGCTAGGCAACCTAAGTACTTATGTTACCTTGGACATTAGCAAAATTTGTCTACACTGCCTTCCAAAAAACGGCCAAATGGAGAAACCTCAGCAGGCAGGATTTTCAATTCAGCATTTATTACATTTCAGACACTGCCACACTTTGAGGCCAGTATTCAATGATTTATACCTACAGTTTGCATCATACATTAGACTCACAGCTGCAGTAAAAACTTAAATGCAAACTTCAGCCACATCTCGGCTGATCGACTAAATTTTTGGCCAACTATCACTTTAAACGAAAAAGCTGCCATGATCAGGTGTAAAACTGTGACATCGCACTGTACCTCCACCTCTGCTTCAGCAGCTTCCGGCTCCAAGCTCACTGATTCGCTGCATTCAGTCATAGGATCCCCAGAGCCTTGCTCTGATTGGCCCTGTGGAGGTTCTTCGGCCTGGGTGGCTGGAGCTGGCTCTTCTGCACCCTCATTGGCCGGCCGAGGCTCTGATGTAGCCAATGAGAGTGGAGGAGCAAAAGGAGGCTCATCTGTTTTGGGCGCAGGAGTAGGGTCACGTTCTTCTGAAGATGTTTCAAAGACAGTAGGGTCTGAGTGTGTGGGCGGGTCTCCCACTGCATCCTCTTGTGACATGGTGCTCTGCAAGTAAACATGCACACAAACAAACAAAGAAAAAAATGCTGATCAGCCAATCAATAATATGAATGTGTTGCTGTGTGCTTGGAAAAGAAAACAATTACTTTAAAAATCGTATTATTTTTGCATTACTTTCTTCTTTTTTTCAAGGGGTCATCACTACAGGTTATGACACATGTACATTATAATCACTGAACTTTCATTCGTTTCATTCATGCCCAGTTACCTGGACACACTCACCCCTATAAAACATATGGAATAGTCCACAAGTCACATGTTCTACACGAAGTTGCATCATCTGAATTTCCTGAAGATCATGGAAAGATCAAAAGTTCTCTCATTCTTTTTTTTCTCTTTAGTAATGTTGCGATTTACTGATGAGGTCATTTCAAAATGTCAACTCCGTTATCTAAATTATATATTCATAGTAAATTATTAATAAAAAAATACATTTTAAGGAAATCCTTATAATATCTTTAACACCCTTATGCACTTTGAGTATTTGCTAATTCTATGCTAAAAAAACTCAACCATGTCACTCATTTAAGCCGTTGCCAACAAGAAAACCATGTGAAGAATGAGATATTGCTCCTAGTTGAGTTGACACATTTTGAAATGATTAGATACACGTTTTCTTATATTCAATGTTGAAAAATGCTAAAAAATTAAAGGACTGAATGGCTTGCCGATCGTTTTGTCCAACACTGGAGCAACGCAGTTACAAAAGCAGTTATGGTTACTTTCACTTTTTCTGGTATTCGTGTGTGATCACGGGGAAATCGTGAAAACTCCACCGTCACCACCACACTTGTAAAAGAACAAATTATACAGCTTTACAGCTTAATTTGTAAACACCATTGATCTACAAAAATACATCTTTTGTATAAAGGTAACTGACAGAATTCAGCAACTGCCCATTGGATTCTATTATAAACATGCTTTGAGGCAGAAACACCTCAAAACTACTGTCCACAGTAATCAACTGTATGCTATAAACGTGGCTGAAAGAAATTAGGTTTAAAATGCCATAGTATTCCTTGAGCCAAACAAGCATGCTAAGTTTGTTCCAGTGAAACCAGTTACTAAGTGTGTTTGCACTCTCTTTCAAACAGGCTACCAAAATGGATGCTAAGCAAAACAATCAGCAGCTGAACAGCTCTCTTTTACAACAGAACAGTCTTCTGAATGGAGTCCTTAATATGAGTGCATTAAGAAGCTAAGATTAGGGGAAATTGTGTTTTGTCGATTTCATAGTTGTACTGTAAAAACTGCCAAGTCGGGGTGTTTGAAATTAAAATGCAGTGGAAAGCAACCTGCACACTTGCACAGCTAGCGATGGGCATTTCATCTCTTTTCTATGAGTCAGATCAACTGAATAAGCTCATAAACAAGACCCAAATCTTTCAGCTTCAAAGTGGCTGTTCATTCAGTAGTACTGACTAGTTTTAGAGAGATTAGTTTGGAAATGTTGTAGTATTCCTCTAAAGGCCAAACTGGCATTCTAACTTCAAGCTTAGTCCAGTGAAAACAAATGCTAACCCCGCTAGAAAAAAACATCATGGACTAGCATAGTCCAGCAAAACCAGCATGTTGTGTTTTGGGTGCTGGTACGGCCATACTGTGTGACCAGCACCAGACCATCACTAGACCAGTAAAAACCAGCTTAGACCAGCATGGACCAACAAGGGGTACCAGACAACTAGATTGGGAAACACCGTCCTAATGACTTATCCTTATCTCTATATTGATTTGTTTACCATTTGTTGACTCTGTTGTCCACCTGCATAGCTAAAGGAAAGGACGAATATGTATAGTGTTGTGTGACTCAACGATGCTCCAAAGTACTCACTTCAAAAGTGGGTCCACAGTGGGTTCACAGTGGGTCCTTTGGAGGCGCCACATGTTGTGAGTTAGTTCAACGCTAACAGTGAAGTGACAAAGTTTTATTTAATATGTTGTACTGAAATTTAGGATGATAAATCCCTCTCATTAAATGAGGGTCTTTCATTTACTATCTTTTGCGGAAACCACTGTCAATAATTGAAACATCTGAGCAGCAACACCATAGCAACCATTTGGGACACCATAGCAACCACCAAGCAACAGCCTAGCAACCACCTGGGATTCCATTGCTACCGCATGGCAACACTCTAGCAACCATCTGGGATACTATAGCAACCACCTAGCAACATCTTAGCAAGCTTAAGCTGTGCAGTCACTTACATTTGTGCAAGAAATACACTGCAAACGTGCATTCATGAGCTTCTGCTGGTGTAGGTTTATAGCAACTTGTGCGCTAACGGCATCCCTTGCCGGAGAAACTTCAGACTGCAATACATTCTAAATGAGTGATTTCAAAAGCCAAGCCCATGTATTTTACATACTTAAAAACAGTTATTTTCTGCCTTTGTGGAATTCAGCTTTATACGCCTTTAGAAAACCATATATGGTGGTTTATATTAATTTTTCATGATTTAACTAACCACAGGAACACCTAAACTGTAAGGAAAATACAGCATAAGACAGTACATAACACAGCAGAAACAGTGGGGACTCTACTGTAGCCTAATGGCTTGTAAAGCCCCCTTAATAACCAAAGGTTCTAACAGTAAAAGTGAATAAAACATTTTGTCCACATATTATTTAATATTATTTAGCAAATGGTTTAGTATTAATATTAATATTAAAATGAGTCCTTTCCAGTTCTCTATCAGTTCTCTTTTCCAACATTATCGCATTTTAAGCATCGTCATCGGGTTACTTGTCAATCATTGACAATATCTGATTACTCTGCCCTATCGTCCAGGCCTACTAGCAACTTTTTAGAAGATTGACAAAGCAAAATAACATAACATTAACTTCAGACCAATTTCAGACCATTACTAATGGTCCATTCCTCATTCATTCACACAATGTAAAGGACATGTGGTGCTTCGGAATGGGAAAAAATAAATGAAAACAAATACAAGTTGTAAGGTTTTGTTAGACCAATGGTGATACATGGAAGTCTTAATCAATCTAGCAATATTTCCAATGATTTCAGTACCACAGGAACATAAATTGAGCCTCCCTAGGTAATATTTTGTGACAACATATTTTATATAAAACTAATGAGTCATTACAAAAGGTCAGGATGCAGAATGAAAAGAAGGGAAAGACACTATTAGAGCTCTAATGTCTATAAGACTAGTAACTAGTAAATATATGCATGATTTCAAATCCTATACTGTAATCAGTTATTTTAATGGAGAATTCCCACTGATTTCACTGTGCATGATTAAATGGTTAAGATGTAAACCAAGTCATTCAGAGTGGTTTGGTGTGAAATGCTCTGTTCTAAGAAACTTACAGAGTCAGAAGTGTTCACAGTGGTGGTGATAGGAACCAGACGTCTGAAGAGTTTAATGTCTCAAAAAGCAAATAAATGTGAAATGGTTATAAACAGCCTACGCTGCCTGATGGCTGAGACATTGTTTTGTGATAGTTTTCGAGATAAGCTTTGGGCCTGAAACATATTCCCAAAGAAAACGTATTAATTCAGATTTAATGTAATTGTGTCATCACCATAACACATAAAACTGTGTAGGTTCACTGGTCATTCTGATTAGTAAATAAAATGGCTATATTTGCGTAGCAGAGATTGTGACCCCTGCTTCCTGTCAGCACTGCTGTAAAGAAAACCTGAGTATGCACGTTTCTCTACACATCAAACCACTCTGAGTCACTTTGTTTACATCTAAATGACTGAATTGTGCAGTAATTTTGAAAAACAGGTGGAATTCCCCTTTAAACAGCTTAGTCACAGCTTTATGGTGACTGAATGACCGTGTATGTGGTGACACAGCTCTGTCCATCACACCACCCTTCTGCCTCAGAGCAGCCTCTCGAGTTGGGCTACAGCACCATCTAGTGGCTAGTCTACGTAAACACAACACATCTTTACTAACTTTGTCGGAAGATTTGCAGTAAAACCGCCCTGGCGAAAGAACTGCAGCAGGAAGAATGACCACAGAAATGCAAAACGTCTTTGAATACGAGAGACCAGCTCTACACAGAGGATGACAAACGACTTTTAGCTTGACCAAGAACTTCAAACTGTGAAGGCGCTCATTCCGAGCACAATTCACTCCGTTTGAAGAAGCAGCTCAGTGTTTTAGCTGGCGGTCGATCTTCTGTCAGTCAGCTGGTCAGCAGATGTCCGCTGTGGGCTCGTCCACAGACAGTGAGCGTGCACTTTTCATAATAACACTTTTCACAGCAGCGGCACAAACACAGTGGACACAGCTGGGCGTCACTCAGCGCGCGCTCTGCAGCTCGGCGCGTTTTAATGCAGCTCAAATCAGCGAAAAAAAAAACACACAAACACAAATAAACAGGTTTGTAGAGATTAACGCTCATCTTACCGGTGGCTCTCGCGGCGCTGTCGCTCTTTCCGCCCAGGCGCGCGCCACGTCGGCACCGGACCACGTGCTGCGGGCCGTGACGTCACGCCAACTTCGGGCGCTCCCATAATAAAGAGAATAACTACACAGTGATTCTGCTTCAGCCAGCACTGAAGCACTGAGGACTCTTAAACTGGTCAATATTAAAAAGAGCCTTTTACTCTACTGTGGATTATTTGATCTCCAAACAGCCTTTTTTTGTTGTTTTTAATGCCCTTACTGGACATTATTTACATTTCACTATGCATATATGTGCAATAAGCATAAGCTATATATATTGTTATGTACGTTTTTAAAGTGTTTTTTGTACAATTTTCAGCTTCAATGAAGAGTAAAAATAGATGTAATCTTCTTTGATTTATCAGGAAATATGACCTGTTCTGAACTACACTACCTCAACAGCCCAGCAGCCCCCCCTTTTTCTCTTTTAATGTGTATTTATTAGTTGTATTTCATCTGAGAGCCTCTTTGTCTGGCACTTATACTGCTGGATTAACCTGTTTACTTTTTTCTTTTTCTTTTGTATGTGATATTATTCTCGTTCTTGATTGTACGTTATGATTTAAATGAAATAAAGAAGACAGTGGCAGAGAAACTGTATGATTCATGCGTTTTTTAAAAAAGCAAGTACTTACAGTAGCTATAATATGTATGGAATGTGCTTTTTTGTACAGCAGCTGAAAGACTAAAGTAAATAAAGAGAATAAGGTAGATAATATTATAAAAGAACTTACTAAATACACTCAAATACAGTGAGTCATTAAGTCAGTGAATGAATGAATGAATGAATGAATGAATAGGAAAAAACACAAATTAAATGTCGTTGTAGCTAATTTATACAATATTTAGGCTCTTTATACACTGTATTTACGCGGACAGTGTGGCTTCAGAGGACTGTAGGCTCTGCTGTGCTGGTCTCTCTGAACGCTGACTGGAGGAGCTGAGAGTTTACAGTAGATACAGTTACACTGTGAATAAATCCGGAATTGAGAGTCAGATCACATTTAACCATGAATCCGCCGCTCTTCTGCACTGTAACCGGAACTCCCGTGTCGTGGTGGGTGTTGTCTGACGTCGTGTCTATCCGGCTCGTTGGTCTAGGGGTATGATTCTCGCTTAGGGTGCGAGAGGTCCCGGGTTCAAATCCCGGACGAGCCCTTCTTTTAAACCCTCTTTACTGTCTGCAAACAGCAGCTTAATGGAGCACATGAACACCAGTCAGAACAGAAAACACTGATTAACTCCTGTACTGTAGCTAATGATGCAATTAAAGAGCACATGTTTCTTGTATTTCTTTCCTCCTGAGATCCACTTATGACATTTGTGTGGTTTTATATACTGAGAAGAGGCTAAATGGGTTTTTACATGACCCATTTTCAGCCCCTCTTTATCTCTTCAAGTCAAACACCATTTTTAAGATCCACACATGTAAATGGTCTCTGTTCTGATTGGCTGATCTGTGTTGTGCCTCAGCTTAACTCAGCCTGGTGCTCAACTGCTACAGGCTAAATAGGCAGATATAAACATATTCGTGACATCACAAGGTCTGTACTTGCAGCTTAGTCTCCATATATGTATTATAAAGACTGGATAGTGAATTGTATGGTTTGGAACTTAATACTTATGTATATATGTATTTAATATTGATGTATTCAAACTTGTGAGGAAATTTGGGTTTTTCCAGCCTTTTGTCCAACGCAAGCAAAATTGATACAATCCAAACCTGAAATTGTGTCTAACCCAGTTTAAGTTTGTCAAATTTGGCAAAAAATGTCAATGTAAACCACTCACGCAGTATATGTTGGAGAATCATAATTAAAAATTTTCTTAAGACTTCCGGAATCAGGAAGAAAGGGGCAAGAACTGCCCACCATTCGCTTTATATATTTCTATAGATTTCAGAATTTTTAAATTATTCATTTTTTTCTGGCAGCAGTATGTAAAAATATTGACTTATTGTCTCTAAACAATGACTTATTTTCCTGAAATGTTGATTAAGAATCTTGAAATATACATTACTTTCTTGACATTTTGATTTTCTATCTCTAAAGAACAACTTACTATGTTGATTAAATTTCAAGAAAGTAAGCCATATTTTGAGATAAGTCATTTTTTGAGCAGATAAATCATTATTGACATACTAAGTACTGATTTTTCAAAAAATAAATTGTTACTTTTGATGCTAAGCTAAAATTTTGAGAAAATAAGTCATTGTTTTGAGATACTAAGTGAAAAATATAAGAAAATGAGATTATTTTGAGATAATACGTCAAAAATATAAGGAAATAAGCCATTAGTTTGAGATACTTAGTCAAAATGCAAGAAATTAAGATATCATTTTGAGATACTAAGCCAAAAAAAAATAAGAAATCATCATTATTTTGATACTAAGTCGAAAATGTAAGAAAATAACAAATTATTTTGAGATAATAAGTCAAAAATGTGAGTAAATGTGAGAATGTGAGTCAAAATTTTGAGAACATAAGTAAAAAAAAGGTCTGATATCTGAAAAAATATTCTTTAAAAATGGCCTAGTATAACCAAAAGCATAAATACGTTCAACATCGCATTCTCAGGTTATTATGTGTTTCCTGAATGAGGTATTTTAAAGCATTCAGTGAATGTTCTGCATAACATCATTGAAAGTCATTAGTTTCATAGCTTGTAATCTTCCTGTACTAGCTCCATTTAGCTCTAAAATAAACATATAAAAAATCACAAAATCACTTTTATGCAAAAATGCACAGATAAACGTTTATTTAAAGATACATTTCATATATAATAATACAATATTAGTCTGTACAGTATATATCTTATTTCACAGTTTAATACAATGACATAATACACGATTCCCTTACAAACAGTGAAAATATAATTCAAAGAGATAGAATTCGAGATATAGATTCACATCTTCATAGAAATGCATAATATTTGCTGAGATTAAAAAATAAAAAATTATATCGAGATCAGGGTGCCTAATAAAAATATGTTCATTTTCCCTTTTAATTGTATCACTCTGTAAAAATATATATATTACAATTTTCGCTGTAGTTTTTTTTCTCTGGGAAGGTTTGCGTAATGTTCTCATACAGCTACGCTGTAGTCAGAACAAAAAAGGAGATGTTTTATATCCTTTCTGTCTTTCATTCTTCTTTTCTATCGCTCTCATTCCTCTGTCCAGTTCTGCTTTTCTGTGTTTCTCCCCATTTCTCCATCTTCCCCTACACATAAGGCACTTTAGAGGTACTTCAGTACAACTTTGATATCAATGATATCCTTTGCCTGAGCACAGAAATACAACAGTAATGAGCAGAAGATATGAAAAGGACCGAGAAGCACCAGCACTGATCTGTTACAGATTTCCCGTGTGCTGTGAGGAGTTGTTGACAATGTTTATTCAGCCACCAAAGCTTGACTAGGACACTCCAGCATGATTCAACCTATTTCAACCTAACATCCGCCTACAGTCGTATGCAGAGGTTTTAAATAATTCTGCTAAAATGTCATGTTTTGTTGATTTTCTAAGTGACAGTGAGTTAAGACATCCTCTACAGGGAGCCAACTTAAATACGACAAGTTTCTGAAACTTTTATTGCACAATCTCTACTTTTTTGCTGAGTTTTACATATTGGAAAAATAAAACATAAAATACAAAGTGTGCTTTTGCACACAAGGCATTCTATGCTTTAATTTTTTTCTCAATATGTTATAATTGTGCCTTATAATCACTATTACAACAAAACATAAAATTTGACCAGGGGTGCCCAAATTTTTGCACACAACTGTATTTATTCCATCAGTTACTACAGACAGTAATTTCTACATGTTTCCTTGTAGCACCAAAAAATAATAAAAATATTATGAATCTAAATTCACCTATAATAGAGGCCAGTGGGCAGTTGCTGAATTCCATTGGTAAACATTTATGCTAAACATGTAATTAGCATATCAAAACTCATGAATACTTAAATTAAGCTGTGAATTCTTTCAGATACTATTTGTTACCAGGGTAGTGGTGTGAGTTTCCACAGGCTCTGCCTGATTAACGTAAATGCAGCACAACCTTATGGAAAGTTACCGGGACTTCTTCTCATCTTTGTGTTTGAAAGTTGGATAAAACGTCTAAAGAACAGCTTTGGTAAGACTTCTCCACTCGTCTCATATACTATTACAGCTGAAGTTTTAAAGTTCATTTTCAATTGTTACATATTTCACATGTTTATTCGTCGAGTTTAGCAGCTGCCCATTGACCTCTGTCATAAATAAGTTTCGAATAACTGGTTTTTGTGTTCTTTTCTAAACACAGGAACATGCATCGAAGTTACTGTCTGTGGTAACTCACTGCACATTACAGATGCAGCAGATAGAGATTAGATTGAAAGATGCTAGAGTATTCCTTTAAACCTGGGGGGGCCGAACTGGGGTCCTAGAAGGCCTCACTACTTCTAGAACACTACTACATCTGACCCTCTTGAAGAGATTAGTTGAATCAGGTCTTTTTTAGCAGTGAAATCATTAAACACTGCTGGACTCTGACCTTCCAGGAGCCTGGCTTGACCTCCCTGGTTTAAGCATTCAACATCCTAATGGATATGTGTCCATCAAATCAGGTTAAAGTGCACATTTCCACGTTTCAGTTCTCTCTCTATACAACAGTCACATCAGAAAAGTGATTTTTCAAAGCTTAGGCAGAAAACAGCATCCCTGTCCATGTCTCCCGGGACGCCTCGCAAAGTGTCTTAAAGAGGAATCCCGCTGATTTTTCTCAATTTCTGAGTAATTCAGTGGTTTCAGATGTAGAAAAAAGTCATTCAGAGTGGTTTGATGTGAAATGGTTCATTGCAGAGAAACAGACTCTGATTGTGCTGTTTACAATGGTGGTGATAGGAACCAGGGGTCACAAACGTAGCCATTTAATGACCAGAAGACCTGTTTTTCTTTGGGGACTATTTTGCCGTAGAACACCCTGCATTTACCCCTCCACCATGTATAGATTTCAAGTTTTAGGCCAAAAGTTTATCTCAAAACTATTGTGAAGAAATGTCTCTGATATTGTATGTGATAAGTTTCTGTGATGCAGCATTCAGAGGCAGACTTCATCAAACCACTCCGAATGACTTCGTTTACATTTTACATGTTAATTATGCAGAAAAGACTTTTCAACAGAAAAATCGATGAAAATCCTCTTTAAGCAAGTGACGGCTAAAAACTACATTACCCATAACCAAGACGAACTTGTTCCATTACCATAATGCCCCTTTTAAATGGTTCACATTTAGCAGTAAATACAAACTTGAAAAAAAAAATTCATACTGCCCCCCCAAAGCTTCCATCAAAGGGAGGCATGCTAGCCCTCAACAACCCAGCGTTCATGCATCATTATAATTCGTAATATTGACAACTATTCAAATCTACCACTATAACAAATCTCAATTAAATAAAGCCACTTTTCCCTCGGTCTATATGCTACGTCATAGCAGCTAACTGTTAACTGTTTGAGCAGCTGTGTAGGCTAATCTGCAGGATATTGCTACTGGATGTTTGAACAACTTTGGCGCTTAGCGGCCAATACATATGGTCTTCATCTTGGGACCACTATTTTAGAGGAACACTCCATCATATTTCAACCTAATATCCATCAGTTGTTCATTGTGATAAATCAAAATAAGCTTATGAGAGAAGCTAAAGCAACTGCCCATTGACTTGTACTATGGGCGTGGTTTGGGAGTCCTTTTTTGGTTCTTTTCTGTTCTTCCGAGTTTGGTATCCGAATCATTACCAGTGGTAATCGATCATGTTCTACAGAGGTAGCAGACAGACTTTAGGTCGAAACAACCGGAGTATTCCTAGTCCACATGACACCCAACTGTCACTCTATCCACACCTGGGTTTGCATGAAACTGCGACTGATGTGCAAATACAGAGTTGCATAGATACGGTACAGTACACAGTACTTACATATTACTCGGATCAAAAATCACGGACAAGCCTCAGTGGAACAGCATGAGCATCTGGTGTTGAGGCTCAAAGCACTGCAGATATGAACTTAAACCAAACTCTGCCCGTTCTTAGACTAATAAAGCAACCGGTCTGATGCTTCAGACTTGCCGCTTAAAATATGTTGCAGTAACCCAAATGATCTACAAAATTAATAGTTGTAAGCATAAAACACACTGATTAAATCTAGTCCTGATGAGGCTGAATACATAATACACATGACGGTTACAAAATGACGGACTTACATGGTTTTCCTGACTAATATTTATGAAAAACAAACAAGCAAAAAAAAAAACAGAGAAATTCACATTATTCAGGATTGACCCTGGGCGTGTGTGTGCATGTAGGAGTTTTTGTAGAGTGCACTACACCCTTTGGCCAGCAGAGGGCGACAAAGAATGACTGGAAGAAAGAGTAGGAGAGTTTAGGGGTGTGTGTCAGGCCCGGCGCCAGGACTAAAGCCCAGTCTCAAATGACACCCAAAGCCTTGTGAAGTCCACACTCTGATGACGTCAACAATGGACCTTGAAGGGTGGTTTGTTTTAGTGCATGTGGGACAGACTGCTGAACCCAGCGAATCACATGTGTTTCTTTAAATAAGCTAATTTGCTTGTTTACAGTAGCCAAATCCAGATTACAGGCATATAACAGCTTGACAAGTCAAAGTAATAAACTAATGCATTTTTACCCACATCTGAGTATCTCCTTCCCTATCATGTTAGCCGGACAGCTGTCCACTCGCCTGTGTGTCAAGGAATTGTTGGCCATGAAGCAATAATGTCCATCTGCTTATGATTTTGATCTACTAGTTTGCCATTTATGCTTTTGGATGCAGTGTGCCATGTTCAGGGTTTACAGTTATTGTATTTATGTAATGTAACATTAAATTAGTTACTTAGTTACTTAGCTGCTTAGTTACTTTTTGTGACCGTTTTCTTCGAAGAAGTCATGTACCTTAAGTCCATATGCAGGGGTGGTGGCCCTATGAGGAGCTTTTGGCCAATTCTAAAGTTAAAAAGCTTAGCAAACACTTCACTGCTATGGATATTGGTTACAGTGGAGTTTTGACTGGTAATGGTCAAAAACGGATTTTTTCCTTCTTTATTTGTGGTTTTGATTTATGTTTTAATAAGATATTCATATTGAAAGTCTACTTGAGAGATCGTTCTGTGGGGCCAGTGACAAATGTGGGTGGGCCTACGCCCGCTAGGTCCAATCATACCACCACCACTGCACTCGGCACAAGAAAAATTTATGGAGGTGATATAAAGTTGAGCCACATTTACAGTAAATCAAACAAATCTGTCCACACATAGTGCATGCCTATTATACAGCCAATACAAAGTAATGACTATGTTAATTGATGCAGCTTTTTATATTTGGTGCGCACAAAGTTTAGTTTTACTTTGCTTTTTGCCACCTACGCTGTAAAAGCTAGTGGGTTTAGTAGGCCAAGATGAATGGTTAGTAGGGCATTGCCCCAGTAAATGACCCCCTGACGCCAGGCCTTGCGTGTGTGTGCTGTATGTCTGTGTGTGTGAGCATGTGTGTATATGAGAGAGCGAGTGACAATGAAAAGAAAGAGAAAAAGAAATATAAACAGTTCCATAAGGTGGCTCTCAGGCTTCAAATAAGAACGGTATTTAGATGCGAGATCCATTTAAACCAATAGACGTTTTCTTTTCTCCAATGCAAACAGTTCATGTCCTATCCATGGTGGTGGGACAGTGGGCGGTAATGGGGATCTTCCACTTTGCCCCTTTTATCTACATCTCATCCACCTGCATGCTGTTGACAGTGCGGTCCAACTGCTGTCCTGTGACAGCTACATTTTGCTTTGCCGCTCCATGTCAGACCAACAGGTGGCGCTTCTTGTGCAGCGCGAGGTGATCTGAGCGTGAAAAACTGCGCTCGCAGTCTGGACACTGGAACGGTTTCACACCCGTGTGCTTCCGGAAATGACGTGTCAGCTCATCGGAGCGCGCAAACTTCCATGTGCAGCCCTCCCACATACACCTGTATGGCTTCTCTCCTAAAAACACATGAACGCAAAGGAAGGAAATGTGAGATGCACGTTTATAGTAGCAAAACAGTGCAGAACTATGTAGAGACCACCCTTTAGTTTCTCCATTTCAGCCGTTACGTTCAACAAGAAAATTACCACAACTAAATACAGGATCTAATTTCTCAATATTTAGCGTGTCCACTCAACTTCTACTCTTTTCAGGAGACTCACTTCCAGTTTTCAAATAAATCTGCAGGGATATTTTTTCTCAAAGTTTAGTCTTAGAAGTTGGTTGAACTTTCTGCTCCTTACGATTCGTGTAAACACATTCAGTGATGTTGAGGTCTGAACACTGGGGTGGTCAGTTCATTGCTCTGAGAACACCAGTAGCTTCTTTGTTTGCACATTCTCCATCAATTTTAAGAACCATTTTATGGTGCAAAGAACCCTTTAACCCCTTAAAATCCCAGGAATATTATATACTAAGGAATATTATTCAGTAACTACAGGGACTTCAATGCAAACTGGCTCAGCTATTCTTAGGTCATAGAAGTGTGTAATAAAACTTTGGACCTGCCTTTGGGCCCTGGCCATTTAAGGGGTTAATCATGTGAAGAATTCTTTGAGCGTTCATGGTTGTATGTTGAACCATTTTGAAGAACCTTTGAAGAACCATCTTTCTGAGCGTAGGTGTCTCATTTTCTCTGTAGCTTTTAATCATTTATTGAACTCCAATTTTAAAATGCCTGTTTTTTTTCATTTCATGTTTTCCTTTTACTTTCTTCTTCCTCATGAAGGTGGAGTATCCTCTATCTATTCCCTTTAGAAATACCTCTTAAAAATGTATTTACTGGTTGTTTTGACTGTAAAATTTAATAGATTAAGGCTGCTCTCTGACTGTTAGTATATATGTGTAGGTGTTTGGGTGCTTATCTGAGTGTTGGTGTGTACCTGTGTGTGTGCGTCTGTGGGCCTTGAGGTGTGAACTCTTGGTGTAGACTTTATTGCAGCCTCCAAAATCACAGCGATGAATGCGACGCTTCTTCAGAGGGTCTGGAGACTCCAACTTACGCGTGTGTACGATCACAGAGTGCGTGTTCCCCCTGTGAAAGAGAGAGAACAATCAATGAAAGTTTGTTCAAGAATTCTGGTAGAAGTTCTAGCAAACACCTCATCCTGCAGTGTTGTGGTATTTTTGTTTGTACATGTACGCAATTCAAGATATTTCCTCTTCTAGAGGTCTGAGGAGATCAGCTGTCATTGCATTGATAATAAAAAGAAACCAGCAACAGTATCAGATTTCACTTGTGCCTGCAAGTCTAGTGTCCACAGCTGTGTCTGTGAAGAGAACCAGTAAATACTTGCTTCAGCTTTAAAGCAGTACTTTGGTGAAAATGCAGATTTACACTGTTTTCTCTCCTAAACCAATCAGCCAAGACGTGTTTTGCTGTCTCAAGTTTGCTTCTCCAGTTTTACACTGGAGCTAAAGGCTAACAGCTAACAAGTGAACTGTCAAGTCCAGGTTCAAGTTCATGTTTCTCATTTCGACCACTAGATGTCACTGCAATCTTGAGATATACAAATATATGTAAGTAGGATTCTAAAAAGCGCATGGCCATACAGGACGAGACAGCCGGTGGCCTCAAGCTCTGGATAGTTGCAGCTAATTTGCTGAAGTTATTAGAGGGTTTCATACATTATTTATTTATTTCAGTTGTTGTTTCCATTTTATCCAAAGTGACAAAAGTGGTTAAAAGCAACATAACTGGTTAAAGCAAATGCAAAGCTAAACAGTTTGGTCATATGGTGTGACATTTGCCTTAATATCCGTAGCTGATATATCCATAACAGCTCTGGTCATCACTTGGACACATCCAAAAAAAAAATATTTTTGTCCTGTTTACATTTTTATTTAACTTCTGCACATTGTTTCCATTGTACCATTAGGATTTTAAGTGACATAAGTACTTAGAAGGGTCTCTAAAGCTAAATGGTTCAGTCATATGGTGTGACATTTGCCTTAATGTCTGTAGCTGATATGTCAACATCAGCTCTGGTCATCATTGAGGACACAACTACAATTTCCTAAATTTCTCTTTCTTGTTTGTATTG